GCCGCCAGATCCCGGTACCGGTCAGAATAGGCGCGCACTGACTCGCCCCTCTCCTGGCGGCAGCTGGTCAACCGGCTGTACAACTCCTCCTTATCGACGTCAAACCGCTCAAGGAAGGCGTCCTTGAAAACGGCCCACGTGCCGACGGCGGTCTTGACTCCAGCATGCCAGGTCGCAGCACCGTTACCCAGCCGGCAAACAGCCAGCCGAAGCTTGATAGGATCCGGCCAAGCAAACAGCTCGGCCGCCTGCTCCAGTTGCGTAACCCACTGCCGTGCATTGTCGCCGGGGCGGTAAATAGGCACGGCGCTGAGGCAGGAAGGGTGCGGGACACCTGGGGCAGCTGCGCCTACCACCGGCGGGACAGCGGCCCCTCCGTCCATGCTGAAGGGCTGAAGACGGGGTGCCGTACGGCAGAAAGCGACCTGGTCTCGATACCAGGGAACGCCCTACGACCAGTACACCATCCTGACGAAAATTTTTGTGAGTGTGTAACCCCCTAAGGAACTGATGCTGCTGGCCGTCGGCTATTGTGCCCAGGGTGCTAGTGCTGTACGACCCCACGCAGTGCCCGTATGGAGACGATTGCACTGCGCTGCTACCGTCCTAGCCTAGCGTGGCGCGGCGGAGGCTATTGACTGATTACGGCGCACTAGCGGCTGTGTGCAGTGCCCTTGCGCTGCCCAACGCCTGGCAACGTGTACGGCAAAAGCTAACTACTGCGTCCAAGCTCGTTTCTGGGGCTAGGAATAGGTACAAAGCCTAGTCCTGCGGTGTTTGAGTGCAGGGCTCGGGCCTACGGCCCTCGCCTCAGGTCTGGCTACTGTGGTAGCAGTACGGGACTAGCGAAGCTGAGCCCTAACCGGTTCTGGGCTTGGCGCTTGCAGTCCGGGCGGCTGGAAGCCTGGAAGGCGCCGGCGAAGCCCTGGGAGACACGACGGCGTAGCACTTGAAGATGCTCTGACCTTACAAGTGTTATAGCCTGTTCAAAGCGGGTTTACAGGCCCGTTCCTGGAAGCCTGATAGTCCTGGACACAAGGACGGATAGCCCTGCACAGGTACGACCACGGATAGGTCTCTAACAGGTCTTCTCAACCCCGGAAAAGGCCCCGGTATTTATACTGAAGGCAGGGACCCTCCCTAGAGTGACAACGTGACCCTACGACCAGTACAGCATCCTGACGAAAATTTTTGCGAGTGTGTAACCCCCTAAGGAACTGATGCTGCTGGCCGTCGGCTATTGTGCCCAGGGTGCTAGTGCTGTACGACCCCACGCAGTGCCCGTATGAAGACGATTGCACTGCGCTGCTACCGTCCTAGCCTAGCGTGGCGCGGCGGAGGCTATTGGCTGGTTACAGCGCACTAGCGGCTGTGTGCAATGCCCTCGCGCTGGCCAACCCCTGGCAACGTGTACGGCAAAGGCTAACTACTGCGACCGAGCTCGTTTCTGGGCTAGGAATAGGTACAGAGCCTAGTCCTGCGGCGTTTGGGTGCAGGGCTCGGGCCTACGGCCCTCGCCTCAGGTCTGGCTACTGCGGTACCAGTACGGGATCAGCGAAACTGATTCCTAACCGGTTCTGGGCTGGGCGCTTGCTGTCCGGGCGACTGGAAGCCTGGAAGGCGCCGACGGAGCCCTGGGAGACACGACGGCGTAGCACTTGAAGATGCTCTGACCTTACAAGTGTTATAGCCTGTTCAAAGCGGGTTTACAGGCCCGTTCCTGGAAGCCTGATAGTCCTGGACACAAGGACGGATAGCCCTGCACAGGTACGACCACGGATAGGTCTCTAACAGGTCTTCTCAACCCCGGAAAAGGCCCCGGTATTTATACTGAAGGCAGGGACCCTCCCTAGAGTGACAACGTTGCACAGTCATAGCGTCATCGTGATGTCAGCATGACGTCAACCAGACTGAAACACTTACTGGCACAAACCCTCGGAGGGTTATTCCCTATGCGCAGCAAGAACAGCCTCAGATCCTCTATCCAACAAGGCAAACAGCTATATCAGGGGCCCCTCTACCAGGAAATACCAAAACCCCTGTTGAGTCATCAGGCTTCGTACCACAATCCCATCGCAAACAGTACGGCCTCGCTTCGCTCGGCCGTTACGTTATTAGTAATCCAACCGTTACTGGTAAATAGAAAAGGTAACAGCGAGTCAATTACGCGCTACGAGTACAGGTACCGACGAGGCTCATGTAAAGTAAGTAGCTCTTGCGGCAGCAATTCCTCGCGGCCGGACCCATGGTTCGTCGCGCCGTCTTCCCTTGCTCTCTTTTAGTCCAACAAGTCTAGTTCAATACAACATACATTACTGACGCCACTCGCGGCTATTCCGGCGCAGGCGACCGACCGCTTGCCGATCCCTCTTGCCGGTCAGGGCGCGACGCGGCCCTATCGCAACAATCCGTATCCCAACACCTTAGCTCAAAGCCCCACTTTGCTGCCACAACGCCTCGGCCCGGACTATTTATGCACCGAACCTAACATCAAAAGCATCCCCCGTGACCACAACTGACAGCCGTCACCTCAAGCCACAGCCACACAGAATGCTGCGACAGAAGCAGTGTTGCCACCTTTGGCAACAGAGGACAAAGCAGCCTCCACATCAATCTCTGACGCTGTGCTCACTGCGGCTAAGGAAGTAGCAGCGCTGGCCAACCGCCCCGCCATCACATCCAAAGCTGTTCTTGTTGACACGCTGTTGGCACACCTTGCCGCAAACGGCATTCACCTGAAAAAAGCGCAAGTCAGGCGAAAGCTGTACACACCGAAAGGAGAGCTTCAGCAATGCCTATTGACATTGTTGGAAGGAAAGCATGTTCAAGCTGGTACTTCAAGCACTCAAAAGGTGCTCAAAAGCACCGTATAACACTATAGACCCCTGGTTTACATCATAATGATGTTCTGTGTTTAATACGCGGTTGCGAATTTGCTTAATGACAGTGCAAAGTTTGGGAAACGGTGCTGGCCGAAATCAGGTTAATTAGGCCAACTTTTGCGGTGACTTTTCTTATCGCACCTGCTTGCCTTGTTGCTTTGTTTGACGTCTGCCGGCTTTGAAACTCCGTTCTGTGCATATAAAAGACTTCAAAACGCGCGCTAAACGCCTCGGTAAGGCCCGTTCGGCAATCTAGGCAGGGCTTGAAAATCGCGGCCGGCCGAAATATGGAACAATTAGAGCTACAGCCTCACCTATTTCAGCCTCAATGTGAATGGCCCCTTAGGGGCAGCTTACATATGCGCGACAAAAAATCAAAAAGGCAGAAACCAACTTTCTGTCGCATAGAACTCCCAATTTTCGTTTCGCTTTCGCCCCGATCTTTCAAGGATTGGGAGCGTGATCGAATTCCTACAAGTAGCTGAAATTGCGGAGTCTGGAGGTGCTCGGGTGAATTTCTGCACGCGGGATTTCAATTACGGTCACGTATATGTAATAAACGGCCCCTTATACCGGGACCATTCGTACTCCTCTTCCTTCCACTTACCTTCATAAGACTCTGAGCAGCCCTTTTCGTTTGAAAAGGAACTCTGCAGAAGGTGTGTAATTTGGCTGCGAATGCATTTTATGGCGTGCGTGTGGGGGAAGGGTCCCCTTCCCCCAAACCCCCATCCCCCCCTCTGCATGCGTAAAATGTGTACTTGCGTCATCACCTCCAAACAGCGTTCTAGACACGCATACACTTGTCCCTTCTTCGAGCCTTGTCTCTGAGCTTGCAAGAGTCCACGACTGCAGGCCGCGTGATCGTATTCTTCGGTTTGGCAGTTTGAGCGTCTCCACAGCAGCTTTCATCCCTACGGGTGCATCGCTGACGGCTCTATTCCGGGTGCGCATCTCGCAACACCATCAGCGATTTGTTTTTCGTTTCCAAGGGGGTATTTCTTATCGCTGCTAGAGCGATAGAAATCGGGCATGGACAATCGCTTATCGCTTTCCCAACCAGCCAAGCCGAGGGGTTTCTTGGCTTATCGCTGCCTAAGGCGGCCTCCTGGGGTCACACGTGCCCATAGCCCCCTAAACCCCAATGCGGAGGGGCTTCTCACTGGTCCCAGTGCCCTCCTGGGCCCAAATCCTTAGCATGTAGAGGGTTTGGCACGGGGGTTGTGAGCGATGAGATACCCTGGGCGCAGACACCTTATCGCTCTCTCACGGCCCTTGGACCAATTATTTATGGCTCAAAAAGCGATATATTGCTAAAAAAACACTGAACACTATCCATGCCGGAACAGCTCCGTGTTCTTTTGCCGTTCAAATAAGCTCTTTTGTGTTGCAGCTATCTTTTTGCATGACAAACCGTTTTCGTTTCTTCTGAGGGTCCTTAATTTGTATTGTGAGTCGACGACAGGTTCACAATGCTGAAGGCTTAAATACTTTTTCTGTCAACTTGTTTCTTAATTAATGTCTTTCTTGAGTAATTAGAAGTCTTTAATTACGGTCGGCCACAAACACGCACTACAGCTTGCAAAAGTATTTGCGGCCGTACACGGTCTTCGAATGTGTGCTGGGGCAGCAATGTAACTTAACTTGAACTTCATCTTCCCCTTCTATTACAGGATTGTATTCTTCCGATGACTCCGTCATTGCTTATCGGTAGTGAACTGACGCGACCTTCAGATCGGAAAAGGTTATTTGCAAGCGCATGATGCGTTTACTTCAATATATTTACTAAACACCTATTGAATGTCACAATTTTTGCTGTCGTTTGAATTCTTTTTTTGTTACAGACAGGGGTAGTTGAGTTGCTCCGGCGATATTTTCACTTATATATGTCGCTCCTGCTTCCTGTTGCACGCATTCATTACGTAGGGCCTTGTAACCTGTATTCTCTTTTGCAGCTTGGGGCAACTCTGGGACTGTTTTCTCGTGAAATGCATTTGGCGGTTGTCGGGTAATCTCCTGAAACGCTGTTCAACGTAGCGGCTTTATCAGAAGTCACCTAGCATACGCCACCTCTTAAAGGAGAAATAAAGATGCTACCAGTACATCAAGGTAACGGAGCCTCGGGCGACCCTGATGTGACTATGATAGTTCCGGAAAACTCTAGGGGTGAAGGGCCACCACGTGATTGCTGGGTGCTGCCTCTATTACATTACGCCAACTCTTCAGCTGCAAAACTTAAACCTCAATACAACAATCGATTTCAAAGTAACGATACCCAACTCGCAACTTTCTGTCCACACAAGCAAACTATGCTGTTCCCATCCCTCCACTGTACGTTTCGCGGCCCAGCGTGTCACATCACGCTACGCCACGCAAGAAACTACCTGCGCTTCTTTCCGCTCCCGCTGCTCGTATAATCCCTTCCCCCCTTGCCCTTGCCGCCCTTGTTCCTCTTATCATTCCGCCGCCGCAGGCTATCACCGCTATCTGAATCACTTAAGCTACCGCCGCCGCTGCTGCTACTGTCACTACCCGAGCTGCTGCTACTGTTGCTGCTATTGTCGCTCCCCAGCATGCGCCGCGCCACTTGCTGCTGCTGCAGCGCTGTTTGGGCGGCCACAGCGGCCTTGTAGTTCTCACGCATGACATCGGTAACGCCGCCCAGACCGATGGAGGTGAAGAAGTTGATGGAAAAGCGCATGTGCTGCAGGGAGTCGCGCGGGAAGATGCCCTCGAACCAGGGGCTGAAGGCGGGGTCGTTGAGTCGTTGGTTGAGCTTTACAAGGCCCATGGTGCTGGACAGCTCCTGCGGCATGGAGGAGCGCGAAAAGATGGCGAACCCACGGACAGGGGTTGTCAGCTTCCTTAGGGCGGGGCTGGAAAGCTGGAAAAGGGCGAGGGCTGAGGATAGGAACGTATGACGACAACTGGAGAGACGCGGCATGCGCACCTGTGACCCCATGACACCAGCTGAGCTGACACCCATTATCAAAGACACGGCACACACACCCTTCTGGAGGAGCTATGCCTCTTGACACCCCTTGCTTGGGAAGCTGACACCCCTTGGAAGGTGTCCGTTGCTCGAGCAGTTACGGTACCCATAGAAAAAATAACTGGAGGGGCATTGTCCCCTTGATGCCGCGTCGCGACGGGGCCTTCGCCCAGAAACGGGTTGCCATTCCGTAGAAACGAATATGGATATTAAAGGCAAGGGCAAGCAATCCCCAACTGTTCCCATCGTTGCGCAATACCACCTGTCACGCCTGCTGGCCCGAACGCACTCGACAGACCCTTCACCCCGGGCCCCACCTGGAAGAGGTACTTGATGAAGATGCGCGAGGAGGAGGTGGTGTCCTCCTCCGTTAGCCGCACCACCGTCAGCGCCGACCAGGGCAGCGCGTCCGTAGCCAGCAGGTGCGCGAACAGGCAGGACACGTTGCGCAGCTTGTTGGTCTCCAGACGGTGGATCACGGAGTACTGCTTGCGAAAGCAGTCCTGTGGAGGGGAGGGGAGGGACAGCAGTGAGGAGGGAAAGTAAGGTGATAGACTGTGGGATGGGGGGTAAGCCGGGGTAAGGCTGGGAAAGCGCCCAGGCGGCCTAGCAAAATGGCAGAACAGAGCGCGCTCTGGCGGCTGTTGGAGCTAGCACTGGGCTAGCATCCTAGACATGCCGATGCGCGATCGCACGCTGTGGGGCTACAACAGAGTTTTATGGAGCTTCTTCCTCAAGCGACAGGACTGTACGGAAACAATGTCGTCAACATCTTCCCGCCAGGGAACAGCTCTGCTTCACACCTCGAACGTCTCGGCATAGGCGCGCGACAGGTAGCAGAAGCGCTGCGCCAATAGGCCGTAGAAGCGCTTGAAAGTGCGTTCCTGGGAGCAACACTCAATGATCATTGTAACCAGCTCAATCTCCTGCAGGTGAGGAGTGAATAATCATGGTACTAGTTGATAGCACGCTTGGTAAGGCGGGGCGCCTTTCCGCATACAGAAAGCGATGCCTTTCCTTCTATAACCCAGGACACACAGCAAGCATTCCTCCCTACGAGGAGCCCTCGTTATCCTGCTGCCTCTCCTCCCGGCCTTCCTGGCATACAAATGCACTCTAAACGCCCACGAATACCTGGGCATTCCGTGCATAATAGCCACAGCCACCCTCCTCACCGCACCTGCCCCGGCTGAATGCCAATCTTGAGCAGCTTGTGCCCCGCCTCTTCAAAGTCGAATGAGGACATGAGGGTGAGGTAGATGGTGCGGCGCAGGTTGACCAGGTTGGTGGCAGTCTCGTCGTGGATGCTGCCCGCACCACCGCCACCGCCGGGCTCGTCGTACTCCTCTTCCTCGCTTGAGGCTGCGCATGGCACGTTCGTGGGGGGGTGGGTGACACGCCATGGTGACAACTCAGTGGGGTGGGCACGAGAGAACGCGTATTATTGCACTCTGTGGTCAGCGCTTAACCGCCATCACACACGATGCCCACGATGAGCAGGGTCGGGACTTTTTAGGCCGTTTTCGTTCGGTGGCGTACGGGCGTGGGGGAGGGGCGGGTTTTGTTTGTGCCTTTTTTTTGGTCGTTGGTTTTTGTTGTGGCGCTAGGTTGTTTTGGGGGTTGTTGCGGCCCTGCCGCCTTGCCTTGCCCTGTTGCATGTTCGCATCTGGGGCGCTCTCCTTCGAGCCCGGTCACTCCCCTCTGCACTGCACCGCATCACACACGGCCGTGCCCCTCTGCTGGCCTTCGCCTGTTCGTTGCACGCATCCCATTGCACAGTACCGGTAGTCATGCTCCCAGACAACGCTACAGTCGTCTTGCTCTTAGACAACGCTACTTCTCAGTGCGGTTCAGCTGACCGCTGCAGCCACAGCTCAGCGCCTGCTCGACCACTCGCGCCGGTTGTGTTGTTTTTGTTTTATGCATTTGCATTCATGTTGTGTTGTGCTTGCGTTCGTCCTGTCTCGCATGCCGTCCTGCTTTGCCGTACATTTTGCACTTCGATATAGGTTCATTTTGTCTGTTCCCCTTTCCTCGCTCTGGTTCATGTTTCTGCGCATGGCATTACTCGCACTACTGCGGCTGCTGGTACTGGTGCTGACTACGGCGTCTTTGCTCGCAGGTACGCAATGCGCGTTTGCACGCACGCATGCACAGCATTGTGGTGTCTCGTCTGCGTGACCAGAGCGGGGGCTCCCAGCGTCGAGTTGGTCAGCGGGCTAGGTACTCGGTAGTAATTAGCTTTTTCCGACACCATCAGCATCACCGACATGCGTCGTCAACCCGCCACTCTTCTTACATCCAGCACCAGCTATTTAAGCAGTTTTTGCGTTATGCTTCAGGTTTGGTTACCTCTGTTTTGCTTGTGCTTGCGGTTCACATGCGAACCTATCCCAACTGCTTGCTCTTGTTTCCGCTCAATTACACACGATGCCCACCATGCCACACATGCAAGACCAGGCATCTCACCCATTCCCGCCGCGCCACTGCCTTCCACGCCCTCCTCTTCTCCAGCTCCTCCCTCGTCCTCCTCCTCTGCCTCCTCGCCCAGGATCTCCCTCGCAATGGCCGCGTACTTGCGCTCCTCCTCCTCATAGCTGGGGTCCACCCGGAACACATCCAGCAGCGCCTGCGCGGAGCGGTGGTGGTCGGGAGGGCGCGTAAGAAGGGCTCCTGAATTGATTGGTTAACAAGGCAAGGACAGATGCCGTGCAGGAGGACAATTAGGGTATGGTCAAAATCCCTGAACTGTGTTTTGCACATGGCTGGCATGGTCAAAATCAATGAACTGTGTTTCCCAAACACGTCATCATCCCTTCTTCCCCCCGTCTTGACCCCTGCGCCCCTGGGGCAGCCCCCCCCCTACCTGCGCCTGCAGCTCGTCATCCAGACCAAGCTCGTGTGTGATCTGGTCATCCGCCTCCACTAGATCCAGCTCGGGGCGCAGCGCGGGGTAGCCGGAGGCCTCGAACCCGGCCTTGCGCAACGCGAACATGCCCTCAATGATGAACTGCAGGGGACCGGGTCGTGGGAAAGGAGGAAAAAAAAGGGTCAGCAGCAGAGGGGCGGCGCCTAGGGCAAGAAATGTCCTGGAGCCCTACTCCCGCTGGCCTCACCTGCACGCGTTTGCTGATGGCTCCCTCGTGCAGGATGGCACGGAAGCGCTCAAACACACTGCGGGCAGGACAAGGCGGAAAACAGCAGCGTAAGGCAACCGCACATGAGACCGTGATTCACGCTGTCCACCCCATACCCTCCTATACGCCCCTTTCTATCCCATGCTCGGCCTAGCTGCCCCCATAACATTGGGTTATCACCTTCCCCCTGCCTCACCCGTGCAGCCCCTGCGGCACCACGTCCTGCAGGTGCGCCCCCACTTCCCTCACAAACTCCACAGCCATCTCCACGCTGTCCTCGCTGGGCTGCTCCAGAAGCAGGATCAGGACCTCCAGCGCCAACACCTCGTGAGCAACACCCTGCAGGGCAGGTAGGGACAGGGCGGGGCGGAGTGGGTTAAGGGTGGAGCGGCTAACAGAGTGTTGCGGAATCGTCGTAGGGTGAGGGCCGGAGAGGGAAAGGGACGGATCGGGCGGGATCCTAGGGACAAGTTACGCAGGTTCGCAACATGACCTGTTGGGAGTTCCTTCACTAGCAACCCCCGCGCTAGCGTTCCTGCCTGGTTGACCATGTGCGCGATGAACTTGGCAGCGGCGGTGCAGACGGGCTTGTCGTTCCGCTTAAAGGAGCGCTTGAACTGGGGGATGATAACGTGGGACGCCGGTTGGCATCAAGTTTGGTTGGAGAAAAGAGGACACGCGCACAACCTCTACAAAGTCTGGATATATATGCTGTTTTGCACATACGAGAAGGACGTATAACCAAACTGAAAAGGCACCAAGCTACCAAGATATAGTACCATCGTCCGGCATAGCTATGCCGTCCGCCCAACACGCCTACCAATCGCCATCCTGCAACCCTGCGCAAGTACCCGGGCCAAATCCGCCCCCGCCCAGATCCCCACCTGCAGGATGAGCCTGGACAGCAGCAACTCCCCTATCTCAGGGAACTTTGTGTTCACCACAGCCACCAGAGCCGCGTACACGGGCGTGAAGGAGGGTGAGGCGGCCTGGCTCTTCATCAGGGAGCGGCAGAACAAGCCACGACCGCGGATCATATTCTGGAGCAGAACGAAGGGAAGCGGGCAGGGGGGGGGCGGGCGGGGGCGGGGATCAGGGATGTGGACTTGCGCACATGGAGGACAGCACGCCTGGCAGTATGCAATCGTGAAATTAATGGGGCCGCATGAAAACAAAGGCCATTCGATTGTGCAAGAGCGTTAAGGCAGGCGTGGAATGCTGGTAATTCCCTCCTCGCTTCATGTGCACAAAGGCACACGAGGAATTGCAAGGTGTACAGGAAAGAGTCAGTCAGCCACCATGTACGGGGTTGGGGCATGCTTACGGAGCACGGAGATCGCCCGTCCGCGCACCTCACCTCCCTGAACACCTCTGGCAGTATGTTCTTGACGTTAACCACGTTGACCTTATTTATGATACCGTTGAGGCTCTTCTTGAGTGCCTCCCACGTCAGCCGCTGGTACTCGGGGGAGGACTTGTCCTGCAGGCAGCGTGGGGTTGGAGTACAAACGCGTACGAAATCGGGGGTGGGGTTGGTTCGCCGCAAAATGACCCCATGCTTCAATACTAAAGAGCTCGATAAGAGTATTCCAAATGCGCTTTCTTAACTTTGATTGGAGTTGTATGGAAACAGGTGTGGGCTCTCAAAGTTGGTCGTACGGCAGGGGTGGGTAAAAAATTAAATATGTGTACGGCAGGGGTGGGTAGGTGGGTCCGGAGTCTCAACAATTTGTTTTACTTTCAAAACTTATTTCCTAGGTTATCGTTTCGCCAAATTGGAAGCAGACATTGTGTACCGTATTGCCCAAAATTAAATGACAAAAATGAAATGTTTTGACTTTTGTCAAATGGGGCAAAACGTTTTTTCGCCATCCAATTGGGGCTAGGAATTCGCTGGCAAGGTGTCAAATGAGGGAAAACATTCCGCCTGGGGAGACTCCAGGGGAACCAAAGTGGGAACGGAGAGGGGGCAACTGACTTGCCGGTGCGCTGGATCCTCACCGCGCCATGCCCAGTCGAGTCAAAATGGGTTTTCACTTGGTGGTATACTTATCCTCTTAGGACTGAACGTACAGCTCCTTTCCTTATCACATTACATCCTTTACGGCGGTTTTCAGGGTGTTATGGTGCATGTAAAATGGGGCTACAAATTCGCCATCAGGAAGTCAAACGGGGCATAAGTATTTCCGTCTTGTCAAATGTGGCTAGAAAGTAGGCCTCCAGACGCATGTCAATTAGTAATACGGTAGTAAATGCCAATAGTTTTCGCTAATATTAAAGCCTTTGCGTGGAGTTTTGCGGATGGCAATGAAGACCCTAGCTGGCCCAACATACGCAGCATGTCTTGCCTTGACTGCTCTAATGGCAACATAAGATGTATAGACATTGACAGTAATACTAGGGCTTATGTTAGAGGCAGCCGGTAGCAGGGGGGCAGCAGCCATAACACAAGAGGGACAAGAGGCAAAGCAAGCAGCAAGGACAGGTAGGGGATCAAAAAAAACCAAACAAACGAAATCGCAAAAGGGGGCGGGCACGCAGCAGGCCCTCTCCCTTTTCTGATGACACTCCCTTGGCTGAGGGAGGAGGCGCGGGAGGTTCCGCGCCGGGGCAGGGGGTATCATGCGTGGTTCTGCATCTGGTGCTGAGGGCGGTGGGTGCAAACCCAACCTGCTACTCGGGATAAAAATAAGGAAACTGACGACGCTTTACCACGGGTTGCTTTAACACGGCCCATCCGGTCCCATCCGAAGTTGTCAAGCCAAAACAGCAAATGGGCTTTACCGTATAGATGAAACTTACCGGAACTGCAGCCAGGGCCATCCACTATAGTGAGCCTTAAGGTAAGCGTAGATAGCGCATGGAGGGGAGTCGGCCGCGCCGACGGTCATGGCGGGGTCATGTGAGGGAAGCAATGGCAGGTGGACTGGCGCACAATAACCAACGCAACCGTGCATCTAGGCATTACAACAATGCGTCGGCTGTTGACCAGAGGGCCTTGGATCTGGAAGCATGCATGGGGCCCCCATGTGGTGAGCGACTCGGACATGTTGCCAGAATGGTATCGAGAGACTGAGATAGATCTGAGAAGGTTTTGCAAAGTTTAGAGCGTTCTCGTACAGCTAAAACGGTACGACAGGGTGGGCGGGTGGGTCCGGCACCCTTTCATTGACTTTCCTAGCATGGGGTTTGGCAAAGACTTTCTTACCCCTCGGTAAGGTCGGAGGCATCTAGGGGCTACTCTGGCCTGCTACCGGTACTCGATTTTATGTTGTGCAAGCATGCGGCGCCTTACGAACAAGATAACCATGGAACAAACATGCAACCACACATCCTGCCCGTTACCGTGTAGCTTTAAATCCCACAGGGTTGTAGCCAGCCGCCAACATTTAGCTACTTATGGCGACCATTCTGTTAATTGCTGGCCTGCTTCTTTGCTTTGGACAGCTTACTGCTACAACATTTAAATACCTGCCCCTCCATGCACATTACAAGCCAGGGTCTGGTATTCTTGAGACGGCCCGCCGCATATATCCTACCCGTGCACGTTGCTCAGCCATCATGCGGGCCAGCTTGAAGGGAGGAATGTACACGCCACCCGTCTTGCCTGCGGGGAATACAGCGGGTGACGGCGCCGCGTCCAAGCGTGCATCATCAACGCCGCGAGAAATTAAGCTTCCTAACTAATGCCATCGCAGGGGCGTCCCTACCTGCAGGGATGGGCTTCCGCACGCCAGGCTCCGCAGCAGCCGCCTGGCTGCTTCCGGCAGCAGCCCCACCTGCTGCCTCCCGCAGCTCTTCCTGTTCAGCTGCGACTGATGTGCCCCGGCGCGGCCCCTCATCGCCCTCCTCACGGGGCCTGTCAGGGATAGGGTTGGCGGTTGGAGCGCCGAAAGCGTTGGATGTAGCGAAAGAAGGGAAACTAAAACGACATACCAACAGGCAATGGATGCATACAAAAGCGCAATGTCGCGTACGCCCTCACCCACTTTGCCTCCTCACGCCTTCCTTCCCTTCATGAAAACCCATAGGCATCAGAACTCAAAGCTTCCTTCAGCCCGGTTGCTGCCCTTAGGCTACTGCAGTCACTACTTGCCCCCCCGGCTCCAAGTCATTCTTCCATCTCTTCCGCTGACTTCCGCACCTCTTGAGCCGGCCCCTCTCATCCTCTCGGCGGTCCTTCCCACGCTGCAGATACCGCTCGCCGCCGCCAATACCCCGCTCCCATTCCCTGTCCCGATCGCCACCACGGTCTCTGAGCCGATCAAAATTGCGGATCCTGTGTCGATCATTGCCCATATTGTAAATGCGGTCATGATCCCTTTCGCCGCACCATTGCTTGTAACTACCGCCGTCACGACCGCCATGCCGCTGGCGTAGATAGTTGGCACTATCCACCTCGCGACGGGAGCGATAGTCCTCATCGCCTGGGCGGTAGCTACCATCGTCCCCACCACGGTCCGTGTCACAGTCACGGACATTATCGTACAGGCGGCGACCGGCGTACCTATCTCCCTCAGCCTCCCCGCGCCTGCGGTCGTCGCCTTTGCGCCTGACCTGGCCCAGCTGCTGCTGGTCCTCAGTACGATCAGGAGTTCCTGAGACGGAGCCCAGGGGGTCAAAGACGCTGGGATGGGCTTGGTCGTGTGCCTCTTCCGGCTGAGGCTTTGCCTCAGCCTGCCCCAGCTGCCGCTGCCGCGTCTCTGGGCCGAGGGCTGGATCGGCAGCGGCCTGAAGGGGACGGTCGGCTCCTTCGAAACCGATTAAAGGCGTTTCAAGGTCCTTGCGGCGAGAAGAATTAGAGGTAATATCCGAGCTAGAGGTGGAGTCTGAACCTGAGCTGGAGGAGCCAGACGTGCTATTGCCACTGCCGGATGAAGGGCTCGGTCTCTGTCGTCTCCGCCTTGACGGCCCATCCCTTGGGCTATTATGTCGATGGGAGAGTGAAGACATCGTAATGCTGGCTGCGCAGCTTTGCTCAAAAAGGGAATGGACTAGCGACCGCAGCGACCGCACAGTTGTGTTAATTTCCAGAGGCCGCTTTAGCTTGGACACAATAACCTTTAAGTAGCTTGTCTATGAGCAATACTAAAGACGCCAGAGAGGCTGTGTAGAAGTCGAAGATAACAAGTATGCTGGTGACATAGCTCACAGCCTCTATAGCACACTATTTATAGATCCTGTAGAACTAAGTACAGGGGGGACTGCGTTGTTGGCAAGGGCATGGCCGGGCCTTGCGTAAGCCTCGCCTTTGTACCACATAAGGCCCGACCACCTCGCAAAGAACCTTTCTCATTACTCTTCTGTTGCATTCTTGCCCTCAAGCGTTGGCGACCCAAAGTCGATGGATATGCATCATATTTGTGTCAAGGTTTGGGTGACCCAGCGTGCTGAGCACCACAATTCTCATATGTCTAGGGCTCGTCCGGAATGTTGTGGTTGTGGGTCCGTTGTCTTGGGGGAGTCTCCGCGGTTGCATTTTTTCTGGGCTTGTCCTGTTGTTCGTGCTGTGGTTGAGCAGCTTGAGGTATCGCTGGGTGTTGCGGTTCCTCGGGCTGCCTTGTGGTTGGCGTTGCCTCCTTCGGGCGTGCAGCAGTGCGTTTGGGATGTTGTTGTTTTGGCTTCTTTGTCCGCTATGGAGGAGGGTCGGCGGTTGTTACGGGCTCGTGTCCGTGAGTCTGGTTCTGCGGGTGTTGTGTCTGGGCTTGCTGATGTGGTGGCCCTGTCTGCTGTTTCCTGGTTCTGGGGTCAGCTTTGGGTGTTCCCCGTCGGGGATGGGCTGGGGTTGGCCCTTCTTGTGGTGCTGTTTTTACGGTTTGTTCCGTTTCTTTTGCAATGTAGGGTTGGGTTCATCACCCGTGTTCCCTTTTAGGGCACCATTGTAACGGTCATTCATTCACAAAGGCTAAAGCCCTCCTTAAAGAACGCAAGCGCGATACCAACGGCTCCCAGTGCCACAGGGGGAAGACCTTTTCACTCAAAGATTTCTTAACGCCGAACAAGCCCAACACTTGTTAGGAAGCTCATAAACATTTGGCGACATTAAGGCGCCTGGCACGTGAAACGCGGGTGCATTGGGAACGGAAGCTGATCATCGATGTTGTTGGCAAGGGCATGGCCGGGCCTTGCGTAAGCCTCGCCTTTGTACCACATAAGGCCCGACCACCTCGCAAAGAACCTTTCTCATTACTCTTCTGTTGCATTCTTGCCCTCAAGCGTTGGCGACCCAAAGTCGATGGATATGCATCATATTTGTGTCAAGGTTTGGGTGACCCAGCGTGCTGAGCACCACAATTCTGGGACTATCCGGAGCATGTACGTTTAGCAGGGCGTCGACAACTGCAGCCCCGCACAAGCCACGGAGCATTGGATAGAACAGCAAGCGACGTGCGTGGAATGGACTGGTTCGATTATGGCGCACTGGAACTGGCTGAATACGAACGTTACAGACACGAATCTCTATTTACCTATATAAGCCGCTGCCACTGCTTCCGCTCCCGAAAGCGCCCACCCGCAAGTCTTGGGCGACCTTGCCCTCCCATGTTGCGCGTGTTAGTTTGATATGTAGCTGTTGCGATGTGTGCAGATGCACGCTACCAACTTCACGTCCTTCTGGGGCCATCAGCTGTCAGGTGTGCCGGCGGCGGAGGAGCGCCTGCGAGCTGTGCACAAGCTAGTGTCGGAGTACGCCACCAACCTGATCGCTCACCTGGCGAGGCGCTTTCCCGACACTGCCTTCCTGTCTGCCCTGGCGCTGTTCGACCCCGCCGAGTACCCTGAGGCTGAGAGCGATGTACGGACGTGGGCCGAGCCGAAGTGGGCCGCCATTGCTTCTTACTTCGCAGAGCGGCGGCGGGCAGCTCAGCACACGCATGCATGCCACGCTTCACTCGACGTTCAGGAGGCCCAGGACCAGTTTTTCATCTGGGGAGGTATGAAGGCTATGTGGAGCATGCGGGCGAAGGCCTTGGCAAACCGCGCCGCCTTTGTGCAGTATTATGTCAAGCAAAAGGCCATGCTTGATGAGCTCCTTTCGGGCGGGGTGAGCATGCTGGGTGAGGGAGAGGGCCTCGATGTGCTGCAGGACTTGAGTGAGCCCAGCAGCTCTAGGCCAGTGCACCACGTGGATGTTGCATATCAGGAGTTACTGCGTGAGAAGCGGGGTCTGTGCCCGATGTTCCTGAAGCTAATGCTCTTCTGCATCATGATTAAGCCTACCTCTGTCAACTGCGAGCGAGTGTTCTCCTACCGCACGCTACTTAAGACGGACAGGCGGGCGCGTTTGTCTTCTGTCCGGCTGGCACAGTGCCTATGGCTGAAGTACAACACGTCTGGCGATTTGGAGGCGGAGAAGAAGATGCTGACGGCGGCGGTCCGGGAGTACAAGTCGAAGGTGAACCTCCGCTTGTTTAACGACATTGCAGAGAAGATTGAGAACCAGATTCGGCTGCCGCAGTTCTCCCGCATGCGTGCAGTGTGATTGGTGTTGTTGTTTTGCTCTTAAGCGTGGTGACTCGGGTGTGGTAGCCATAACGGATGCTTTAATGCGCAGTGCTGCAGCATGTGGAACTTTAATGAGCTTAACGAGCATGCGTGCATTGAGACTGCTCCAAAGAGCATTGGTCATTCCATATTCATTTCATTCATCCTAAACGCATGCGTAGGGGGCTGTCAAGGTCTGACAATATAAAATGTAAAGGGCGTCGAGAGGAGGGGAGGTGTTGCTGATTGCACGGGTTTCATGGCGGACTTTTGAGCAGCATAGCTTGGATGCCCACGCTGCAGAATATTAGGTGTGTTGACGACTTGGTGTCTAGGATTGGGGTGGACAATGGTGGGTACTGGGCTACTGGTGCGGACATGTAATGCAATACTGCGGAATTCAGCAGTAAAGCTATTCTTGGTGTATGAGCAAGAAAGCGAAATTGGCCGGTATAGTGCCCCAATCAGCGTTGGCAGCGTATTAGTATCGGCCATAAGGCGCGTTTGGCGCCCTTCAAACAAGAGCCCGCCTGGCGCGGCGAGTTTAATACGCCTTAGGCATCTTTAGAATACGCTTTTTTACGCCGGCGTACTAGGCGACTTCCTTTTGCGCGTACGAATAGGTTACAAAGTGTTTGCGATTGCAAGATGATCCTTTTCGTCCAACTGGGACCAACTGGATGTGCCCCTAACTGCCAGAGAATGCCACAATGCTGACACGAAGCCAAAACAGCAGGCATGAATGAAAAGGCTACGCATGCTGCACCCCACCCTACCTCTTGGTCCAACAGCACATACTCCGTGCTGCTAGCACTACCTCCCCCTCAGGAAAATGAAACGAAACGTGGTTGCCCTCCCCCCCCCCCAATGCGTGCAGCATTTGGACTCCGGTTGCTTCATTCTTATCCCCTCCCCATGCGTGCTCCGCAAACAGCTAGTCCAGATCCCCGTGAATGCAACCCTGTGCGCTAGACTCTTCCTGCTGCGGCAGTTTCCACTTCCTAAACCAAACCGCTTCTGCCCCGGGGCCTTGCGAGGGGGTTGTTCCTTACCGTACCACGCAATGTTAGCAAGCCGGTTAGGAAAGCCCTAACTGTAACAGGCATGGCTGAAGGTCACATAGCAGGGGGGGGTCTGGCAGCTCCTACCTATCCCTCTGTGCCCCCCGTCCCCACCTACCCCTGACGCCTTATCACACAGTCAGTTATGGTTAGACGGAAACGTGTATGTTTCTCTCTGACCCCCACCTACCCCTCATTCCCTGGCTGTGCTGCCTACAACGGCAAGTCCTGAACAAAGTAGAACCAATCCTTTATTGTACCTGGCGCTGCTGCAAGTTTAACATGAACGGCTTGTTGCTTTGTAGCGCTCAATGGCGGAAGCTTACATAGTACGGCACGGTTCGAAGCGAGAAGGCGCCTGGTCGGCGCTTTTCAATATGCCTCCTAGGCGATAGACAATCGAAAAGCGAGTTCCGGCGAATTAGGCGCGCGGGAGGGCTCGCGTATTAACGCGCCATACGCTGCCAACGCTGGCCCCAATGTAAGCACGTAGCAAACTTGCGATGATTTGACGCGGATACGACAGAAAATTACCTGCAAACGCTTAACTACGGTGTTTCCCAACGGCTTGGCAAAAATCCAAGAAAAACGCAGTATTGACCGAAATTGCCCCCTTCCCGAAACCGTAATTCAGCGTTTGCCGACGTCTGGTCAGCAGTGTTTGTGAAAGTAGTTCACAGTGTGCGCGTCAAGTCAAAAGACAGGGAGCCTTGACATTGTTGAAAGCTATGTTTATGAAGGAAAGTCCTCATAAGAACGACCAAATCAGCTCGAAAAATGGTGCGCATCCCTGTCCAGCATTCCTGTCTACAGTTGACGACGTGAAATCATTAAACGATGCATTCCAACCAAAGCCATGAAACCATCCATTCTCACAGCAGCGCTATGTGGAGCAGCTACTGCAGCGGCCTGTTACATGCTAAGCCGCGTCCCACTCCCCTGAGGGCACACGGCTGGTGCCAGCTGGCAAAGGGATAGCTGGCGCTGGAGGACGGCACCCCGTGCCGTGCTTTGGTCGGTGAGCTCAACTACTTGACGACTAGCACCCAGCCCGACATCTCCCAGGCTCTTAGCATGCTCGCACAACACATGACGTCGCCTTGCGGTTGTTAACGGGTACAGGTCGCAACGAGTGTGTATGGAAGCAGGTGTACGACAAGGGTGTCCTTTGGCGCCTTTGCTGTACTTGTTTGCTGCGCAAGCCCTTTTGTGTTGGTTACAGCACTGCCACGTTGGGTGTGGCGCTTGATCCGTTGGATTCCTCCCTTACCACAGCTGTTCAGTTTGCTGACGACATTGAAGTGGTGTTGCGAGGGCCTGATGCGGTGGGGGATTTCCTCCAGCACATGGAGACGTTTGCGAAGGCGTCCGGTCAACGCTTGAATTTGGACAAGGTAGAGCTCTTGCCAATAGGGGTTCAGACGGGTACTGAGGGGCAGCAGGTTATTCATGGAGTGTCGGTAGCTCGTACGGCAGTGGCGCTTAATGTGCCTTTTACTAACTCGGACACGGTTCCGGGTCTTGGCTGGAGCAAACGGTTTCTGGAAGCGGAGAACCGCTTGCAGAAGTTGGCTCGCCTTCCACTTTCCATTTTTGGTAGGTCTACCGGCGCAGCTGCTTATGCTTTGCATACGGTAACTTGGCACATGGAGCATTCCGGTTTGCCTCCGGGTGGTCAGTTGGACACCTTGGGGAGGTTGGTGGCTAAGTTTATTGATCGGCACCAGGGTCCACAGGATAGGAAGCGTCGTGCCACGGGTGTTCCGGGTAGGCTGTTAGCAGGTCACCCCAGGGCAGGGGGTTTTGGTGCCTTGCCTTTGATTGAGCATATTCGGGCCCGTTTTGCTTGTTGGGGTGCCCGTTTAGTTTGTTCCGCCGTGATTCCAAGGGATTCCTTACATCCCTGGCAGCGTGCTTTGCTTCTGTACCTTCGGAGGTTGCATCCGGCTTTTGGTCCCCTATCGTTGTTGACAGCGTCCAGGAGGGGGCCTTGGTTGGGCGTGGATGGTTTGCCTGAGGATATTCGTCGGGTTGTGACCGCCAGTTACTGACATAGGGTCGGATCCTTTGGTACCGGGTAGCTGGTGTTGGGGTGTTCCGTTGTGGGGTAACCCTTTCTTGCCGGTTGAGCTGCCGGGCCAACCTGGTGTGTTGGGTTTGGAACACCACTATCCGGTGCTCGTTCATTGCCATGCCCTTCGTACATTGGGTATGTGTGTGGCTGCCCTGGCTCAACTTCGTTGTTTCGAGGACACGTGGGATTCAGCGTTGTTGAATGGTGTGTCGGGGGTTGCTGAGGGCAGGGTGATGGAGAGGTGCTGGTCCGCTCTTGTCCGTCGGTTTTTAGACCCGGCGTCCCTGGATGCCTGTGCTCTTTGTTCGTTGCCTAGGTGTCGTGATCTTTTGACGTCACTTGAGTCGTTGTTGGGTGCGGTGCCTGTGGCTTGGGTGGAGGCTGCTGAGACTTTTCTTGTTGATGCCTTGCCGCCCCAACCTCCGCCGGCTTCTGAGGTTGATGCTTGGCAGGTTTTGGTTCCACGTTTGGGGTGGCAGTTGCCTCATGTTGGCGCCGTTCCTTTGAGGAATCTGTCGGTTAGGATGGCTACAGTTCTTCAGCTTGGGGGTGTGTTTGAGGAACGTGCTGTGTTGCATGCGGCTTTTATTCGGGAGGCCCTGGGGTTACCTGCTACCCAGCAGCTTCCTGAGGGTGTCTTGGATGGCCTTCGTGCTTCTTTCCAGCGTATTTGGTCGATTCGTTGGGAGAATGGTTTCAAGGAAGCGTTTTGGCGTCTTTCCCTTTCTGGGGGATTCTCATATGTCTAGGGCTCGTCCGGAATGTTGTGGTTGTGGGTCCGTTGTCTTGGGGGAGTCTCCGCGGTTGCATTTTTTCTGGGCTTGTCCTGTTGTTCGTGCTGTGGTTGAGCAGCTTGAGGTATCGCTGGGTGTTGCGGTTCCTCGGGCTGCCTTGTGGTTGGCGTTGCCTCCTTCGGGCGTGCAGCAGTGCGTTTGGGATGTTGTTGTTTTGGCTTCTTTGTCCGCTATGGAGGAGGGTCGGCGGTTGTTACGGGCTCGTGTCCGTGAGTCTGGTTCTGCGGGTGTTGTGTCTGGGCTTGCTGATGTGGTGGCCCTGTCTGCTGTTTCCTGGTTCTGGGGTCAGCTTTGGGTGTTCCCCGTCGGGGATGGGCTGGGGTTGGCCCTTCTTGTGGTGCTGTTTTTACGGTTTGTTCCGTTTCTTTTGCAATGTAGGGTTGGGTTCATCACCCGTGTTCCCTTTTAGGGCACCATTGTAACGGTCATTCATTCACAAAGGCTAAAGCCCTCCTTAAAGAACGCAAGCGCGATACCAACGGCTCCCAGTGCCACTGGGGGAAGACCTTTTCACTCAAAGATTTCTTAACGCCGAACAAGCCCAACACTTGTTAGGAAGCTCATAAACATTTGGCGACATTAAGGCGCCTGGCACGTGAAACGCGGGTGCATTGGGAACGGAAGCTGATCATCGATGTTAAGGGCGAAACCGCAACGCAGAAGGATGCAGGAAGACGGAGAGACCGTACTAACTGCAGATTGGACGGAGGAATACGGAGGGACCGCAATTGTGTGGGACGCCGCTGTGTTGTAAACGAGCCGCACTCAACTATTCATCTTTCACCCCGACCGCTATCGACACTAACCTAGAATGCGGGGGGGGGGACGGCGGTGAAGGCTGTAAGGAAGCGGATATATGACAGAAAGGGGGGAGAGAGCATGGGCGATGGGTGCAAGGGGGCGACGAGGGGGGGCGTTGCGTGTGAGAAGGTGACGGGAAGTGGGCTACGTTCCTGGGAATCGGAAAAATGCAAGGTCTACAAGCCCTGCTTGCACGAGTCCATCTCCCGTTCACCCACAATCGGCAACTTACATTGACTGCTTTATTCTTCATATGGGCTCTAGGTTTAAGCTTAAAGCGGCGCAAACGCCTTAAGTATGCAGACTAAGTTTCCAGTTAGCATGTCCTTCACATTTCGCTATGTAACGCAAGCCAGAGCTTTCCTACTGCAAACCAACATTGCTCATTAGCCAGTATAGCACAAAATGGTGTGAAAGTCAGTAGACTTGGTGTCTTGCAAGTTGTCCGGTGGTGCCATGTGAGTGCTTTGCCCAGGCTTTTAGTGCGTTCTCGAGTATGGGCGGATTTGAATTGATACCAGTAGTTTTTAGGGCAAAGCACTGTGGTGGGGTCTATTACGCGATTGCGTAATCGGTTCTAACGACCGAATCCTGGACGGTCTGGACGCGTTTAGGGTCGTCGGACCGCTATCATCATTTATACGACACGCTTTTCGAGTATTTCCTTACTCCTGCAAAACCATTTCAGCTTATGAACATATATTGAGTATCTGCTATAGGTAACTATCCTGGTCCTGTCGGCAAACTGAAGACCCGCATGTCGCTTGGCGTTGCTTTGCTTCAGAAATTACATTCACGAAAACGTCTTTGGCACAGCTTTACAACATAACTATTTTTTACGCAAATGGTACTCTCTGTGCTGGTACATACACGAGGTACAAAAGGACTGTTCACGGTACTGTACACGGTACAAAAAGGACACAAGGTCTCGGTCTGGACAATTAGGACCGAACGCTAAGACTACGCCCCATAAAGGGGCGAGCCAACTTGAACAATACATGCATTTGCGGTGTTGAGCACCCTTACCGGTGTTTCTCATCCATTAGCTACTTCATGCTTAAACAGCGCCATGGTCACTGTGGGGGCATACCTAGTTTCTGAAGGCTGGAGGAGGTTGGTCTCAGAGCATCATTTGCAATAATCGGCTGGGGTATCACTATGGCTGTTCCTTGCTTCCAAGCCGCGGCCTTGCGGAGCGCCTGGTAGTTTTGGGCAGGCCAAAAATACCGGTATACAAACGACGGGCAGGAAGCTCTTAGCATGTAGTACCGTCACAAAGGAGCTCAAAGGCAGCAACGGTGGGAGGATGGAGCGGCCGAGGAAGAGGCGAACGATGGGTGGCACCATCACACACACACATATCAGGTTGGCGAACCTGTCTGTCTCTCCAACTCAATACCTGTTGATTGCTGCATTAAACAACAGCACGACAAGGTGTGTACATTGCAGCACCCACATGCCAAGTGCCACCAATCTATGAAACCAACCATGACCACTGTGGCCCTACGCACCCAGACACACCAGCCGAGCCAGTCCATGCATCCCCACAGACGGACGCACAACACCTGGGCAGGCCATGAGATCGGTTCGGTTCAGTCTGGCCTAACCTCCTGACCAAGATGCTTACATTTAGTGTTTAGCCCGGACTTGGCCACCAAACGTGTCCACAGGGCAAGAAGTCCCGCTCGACACTTGAAAGACATTGACTGGGTTGCAGATGCTACGGCTGTTGAAAGCCTGTCCAAGACAGAAAGCCTGTACGCTTGAACACTTGCATCATGCACATGACCGCAAGCTCCACCGGAAATCGAACTCCTCTAAACCGTTACCAGTGCGTTGCTTCCACCCATCCCACGACATCACCGATGCACCCGCTGCGGGTGCACACGACAAAATACAGATAGACATGCAAGCCACATACCCCCCGACTGCTCACAAGGCACGTAAGGCCCCAAACCTGTGCCTCAGGCTACCAGCCTCCTTGCCTTTCCGGAGGTCCCCTCTCCCTCTCCCTTCCCCACCCGAAGCCCTGAGAGGACCCGGCCCCGTGGTGCGGGTGGGGCGGCGGACCCCTCCCTCCGGGGCCCGAAACTCGTCCGCGGTGTGGTGGCCCATAGAGCCCAACAGGACCCATGGGTCCATCTGCCGCGAAAGGGTTGTTCGGCGGGTAGGTCCCACCGCCACCGCCGGGGCCGTCTCTGTCTCTGTACGGGGGCGGCGGGTGGGTGTTGTGCGGTCGCATTGTGGTTGGACCGGGGCCGCCTCCGCCGCCACCTGCCAGACCTGGGTCAATGGGAGGCTGAGGTCCGCCACCACCACCATACCCGCTATACACACGTGGAGGCGGCGGCTCATGGCCATAGGGCCCTGGTCTGTCATACTGCGGTGGCGGTCCGCTCTCATGTTGTAGAGGGTAACGATGCACATGGCGCCGGTCATGCAGACGCTCATGCAGAGAGCGCGGCAGACGCCCGCCAGGCCCCATCCCGGCATCAGGCCCTCCTTCGTACGGCTGAGGAGGCGGCGGCGGCCCCCTACGAAGATCACGTCCCAGCCCAGAACCTGGTCCTGTTCCGGCTCCAAGAGGAGGTCCACCTGAGCGCTGATGAGGGCCACCTGGCTCCCCCCGGTAGCCCTGGACTCCCATCTGCTGGGGTGGCGGTGCACCTCCGCTCCAATTGCCTCCGCTACCCTCCACGCAGGGGACCTTGCCCCGGCCCCAGTCCTCCCGCTCCTGCTCCAAGTCCCGCTCCCACTCCCGCTCCCAGCCGCGGCCTCGGCCTCCAAAGCTGCCCCGTGGGCCGCCCCGGGTGGGGCCGTCATCGCGGCCGCGCTTGGCTCCCGGCGCCCGACCAGCTTGCCCCTCCAGCCCCTGGGCCACACCTGCTCCTGCCCCTGCTGCTTTCCCGGACCCCACTCGGGGCGGCAGGGCTCCCGCGAGCGCCTGCACATGGAGCGGTCGAAACACGAGGAGAAGCAGGAATAATGGAAGGGAAAGAAGTGTAGGATGAGACAACACCTACGCCTGCGAGCACATCACCAGTCGAGGCACCCATATCTTCTCCTAGCTATTTGCCCTCCCTCAAGCAAGCCCTCAGCGATCCAAATCACGACCCCCATTCCCTAAAGGGGGCGTGTACAGGTCTATCACAACCCACCGGTAGGTTAGCGGTTTGCAGTTGATCCAGGACGGCCCCAATGCCAGGCACAATTTTGGGCCGGTTGCCTGCGCCCACCGCTGAGGCTGCAGGGGTAGGGACAGCAACACCGTCCAGGCTGGATAGCAACCCTGCCGTCTGGAAGCCCGCTGCTGCTGCTGCACCGCCCGCGGGGGGGCCCAGCAGGCCCGCAACCAGCAAGCCCGCTGCGGGCGGAGCTGCCGCGTCGGGTTGCGGGGCCAGTCCGGTGGCGGCGGCTGAGGTGGTAACGGTGGAGGGGTCCTGGCCGAAGGTGTCCTGCCAAATGTCTCCGGGCGGCTTGCGACACCAAAACTGACACTTCTGATCGGTGCCGGCTGAGGGGGATAGCCGGGAGGGGACACACATGTCTGTGGTCTTCCTTGAGTACCAGGAATTGCGACTTTGGGCGCGTCACTGGCGTTCTGTGGCCGCCGCCATCTCCGGTATTTGTAGTCTCGCCGACACAATCATTGGGTTTGGTTGCCTGCGCATTTGCTTCAGTGTCACAATACACCATACTTGCCCTTTATCTGCCTTTTCCGGTGGCAACCTTTGGGCATAGCGCTGTGGGCAGCTCTTCCTGCACATTACCTGTTTCCTGCACAAGGGTCGGTTCGTTTGGTAATTTGTGCTGCGTCGCCTAACCTGTCCTCCTTCATAGCGCTCCTCTTTTTGGGCGGAGCCCCGCCGTGAAGCTGTTTCGTACCCACGTCCGTGTCCGCCCATCCGTCCGTGTGAAATGGCAAAGTATCTTTAAGGCAGAACTTTTATATGCAACTAATATATGCCTTTATTAGATTAAATTTACTACTATTAGTAACTGTAAATAGCAAAATCAATGCTTTTTGCCTCTCCCTGATATGATTTGGGCATGGCATGATGACATGACACACCACGCATCGGTGGTCTGAAAGATACCAAAACACGTATGGGTAGGGGCAGGCAGGGTGCGGGTCCGGGTGCCTCCACTTAGATGGGAATCAACCGCAGTGGTCTGTCCAGGCAAGCAGAAGGGGGCCGGGAAGCTCCCCCGTGTGTTGCATCTCTGGGATGGGGTTAAGGGGAGAAGGACGGGGCAGGTCTCTCGGCAGCAGCTGCGTCACCAGTGCCAGCCGCGACAGGTCGTCTGAGTCTAAGTCCTACTAATACTTGCTGGGAGTTGCTGATATTGACGCAGTACTGCGTGCGTGGAAGGCTAGTGCACGACGGTGCACCCGTTGATGTCGATACCGGTAGGGTTGGATGGCATGACCATGGCATGGCACGACCATGGCATGACTTAGTAAGTGCAAAAGCTCAACAAGTTGTATACATAGGAAGCCGACACTGGAAGGAACCCATTGGTCATTTTTACGTCTTTTTTGGTGTAAGGCAACATGAGGGAACAGCGTTCGAAGTCCTGTAGGGTGGGTGGGTGGGCTCGGGAGGGGTCGCCACCGAACATGTATTATGGGGTTTATAGCCTGGTCACACGACGTTACTTTCTACGTTACGTTACACGGAACCCACGTTGAACGTAGCGGCCCAAACGTAGGTTGCGGTCACATGCTACGTTCGTACGCCAAACTCCTTATGATATTCTGTCTTATAGTATGTGGTCAGTTCATGACGCCTTCCAGTAGGAGGCTGTTGACAGTGTAAAGGTTCTACTGTGCGACTAGAGCACCGATGTAACGCTGCTCGGCCCGTATCCACAAAAGCTAATCAATGTCAATAGCAATGGTAAAAGAGCTGTGCGAAATCTTAAAGCAGGGTGCAGACATGTCTGGTTAGGAAGCGGAAGTTACACTGGAGGACAGTAGCTGAGACTGGTTATTAGCCAGTTGGGAATAGCGTCAATGTACGGCGGAGCTCATAAACGTTTTAACGACACCAAGGCGCCTGGCACGTGAAACACGGGTGCAATAGGAACGGAAGCTGACCATCGATGTTAAGGGCGAAACCGCAACGCGGAAGGATGCAGGAAGACGGAGGGACCCTACTAACTGCAGATTGGACGGTGGAATACGGAGGGACCACAATTGTGTGGGACGCCGCTATGTTGTAAACGGGCTGCAGCGACAGAAACAGACATGATAAAAACAGTGAAGAACATAATCTAATTGTGCGTAGGAAAAGAGGCGATGGCACAAGTGCAAAGCGGTTATACAACCAACTGTAGCCTCAGCCCCCTGACCTCCCTCCCAACATCTGCTACCCCCGTCCCTAACTGGTACCTGTTCATTTCTTAGCAATCCATACTGGGCTAAAGCAACAGAAGGCAGTGCTAGGTGTGCGGCACAAAGTAACGGTCAACGAACTGTGACCTACGGCTGAGGGGGCGGGGTGGCCCCCTCCCCGCACCCTACGTCACAGTATCACGTTGTGCCCCTTTATCACTGCACATCATGCCTTGTTCCCGATATGCCGTACTTTTCACCAATTCCGTCCCTTTTTGTAACTTCCGCCATTCTTCCATCCCCATACACCCCACCGCGCCGTCCTAGTTGTGTCGTCTCGTGTCTTAGGCTTACCTTAGTACTTCTTTGCTCGCATCTTCACCATCGTCCTCTTTCACTTATACTTAACTTCCCCTTTCGCTTTCCTTGCCTCATTCCGCATATCTGGCTCTCCGCGGGACATCGCTATCAACTCGCCTCGACCTAACTTCCTCCATGGTCCTGGCGGCTTGCCATGGACATGTCTCATGGTGCACATATCCTGTGCACGCAGGTACGTGTTTTATCGTGTGTCAGTCTGTGTAGTTTTTTATGCGTGCTCGTGTTGTGCTGTTCCTGTTTGCCTATGCCCAACGGCGCGGTGGGTCTCCAGCTCACCTTCAGCAGCCTCCACACATGCCCAAGACTATGGTAAGGTTGCTCCATAATTGGTAAGTTCGGTAAGTTTAGCTCGCATTGCTTTAACCACCATTTCGGCTCGACTCACGGTTGATTCCACCAGGGATTGTCAGCAACTTGTATCATTATCATACCACACTTTGGAATTTCTTTTTTTCCCCCCTCTCCCGTCCGCTATCCTTTTCTAGTTGCTTTGTGACACCCTGCCACCTCGCATCCCCTTTGCTTTGCCCTTAATGTGATTTCGTACGGTTTGGTATGTTGTTAATTCCCCATCCGCTACCCGCCTGCCCACTCACAAACCCTCACAAACAATTAGAAATACTTACGGAAAAAATAGCCCACCAATGAATATTGAGCTAGAAGTGCGGTGGGTGGGAGGCGCCACATCATCCTCCGACTTACCAATCACTAGAGTCATCCAAGGGCCCTCACCCCCCTCCCCCCCGCCACACATTGGAATTCTCCCCCCCCCCCAACCCGCGCTGTGCGTGAAAGGCCGTGCAGGCCAGCCCCTCCCCCAACCGTTAGGTGGCAGCACGATTACTTGACGCGTTTAAGGGTGTACAAGAAGCACGGGGAGGGTGAGAACAGGAAACTGAGGCCCCTTCCCCTGCCACAGCCATGATGAGGACCCCCATACCCCCAAACCGGTACCCTTCCTTGGCATTCATTATAACCGTCCAGGTGCCTCACCATCCTCCGGCTCACTAATAACCATAACCATCCAGTGTCCCCCACCCCCTCCCCCTCCTCCTCCCCACTAGCAACCCATGGTGAAGCCCCATCATACAGCTCGCCAGTTTCTTCGTTTCACCCTCCCCACCTGCGCTGTGCTTGAGAGGCCGTGCAAGCCGCTTGCCCCCGAAACAGTACCCTTCCCAGGAGTGCATATCCCCCAGCTAGCCTTTACTTGGTCCCCATGTCGTGAGCTAGCATAGCCGGCAAGGCATGCGCACGCGCCCCTCGTTTTCCTATCGTCACCATGGATTGCCACATATCATGTGCCCTTACGTTTGCTTTATACCAAACTATGGTTGCTGCAAGACCCTGTGTTGTTGATGTACAATACACCTCACGTTGCCTAAGAAACATAACGGGCCAAGGGCTAAGTTGGGACGTCCGGTCAACGAAGGGCTTGTGGCTAGCAATGAGGAGGTAACAGTAGTGCTCTTTGGCAAACAAAATAGCGAAAAAGGGGATGCCGGAGGTTCCCGCCTTTCTGTTACCGGACTTGTTAGGCGTCGCAGGGGATAACTGGCGGAAGGTTAGCGTTCAAAGTTCAAAGTTCAAACTCTCCTGCCAAGTGGAAACACCCAGTAAGGCCCTACTCGTGAGTTGCCATGTACCGGTATCTCTGTTAAGCGTTGTGACCGTCCATTGCGATCTACTATTCACTATATATGTGCCCTGATGTGCCTATGTGAATTTTCTTTCTGACAGTGACAGATCGTCTGTGGTGCCGCAACTACAAAGCCGCCTTTTCCATGCGTCGAGTACCGTGTTTTGCGTTGTACTTTGGTTGCCATTTTCGGGTCGATTGGGCAGGGATTGGGCGACTTTTTTGCGTGAGGGACACATATCATAGGGCTCCAACTTCGCAGTGCCTTTGCCTCAAAGCAGCATTTTTTATGCTTGAAGTAAACTGTTAAGCACTGTACTTTCGGTGGCTTTGGCGGGTCGTTTGACCCATTTTTCTTGCGTTACGGACACACACCTTAGGGCTCCAGGGTGGCCACCCTGACCGGCCCCTCCTCACCCAGCGCTCAAAACACCGCCCATGTTGCATGCGGCGCTTGCCACCTTCACATGGGCTCGGGAAAACGCCATTCGGCGTCGCGATGCGCGGCCGGGTGGGAAGAAATTAGCAAAAACAAATGCATGCTCCGGCGAATTTTAGCGCCTCTGTTGGCGCTTGCCAAAAAAAGTGAGCACGCACCCCCCCCTATTGATGCCTTTCCTACGCTGCTTCGCTTGCGTCGGACTCCGTCTATGACGTCGGCCTCCAACGTCGCTACATCTCCGGCGACACCTTGCCAGCGAATTTCTAGCCCCATTTGACACACGGCAAACACACACACATTTTCACAAAATTCAAAATATGTTAATTTTGTCAATTAAGTTTAGGGCAATACGGTATGGCCGATACAATGTCGCCGCTCAGTCGCTTTACCCGCAGTGTGAGGAGCATGCGCCGGGAAGGCAGCGGCATCAGATGAGCGCACCACCAAAAAGCTATGACGGAGCCAAGTTTGGCTTGTGTACCTTACCAGAGCCTCCCCGGCCTCCCGGCGTATCCTTTCCACTCAAGACGAATCCTTTTCCGTTTCCTTCACGCCTAAGGTCGCACCTGAGGCTACCACGTGCCCCAGCGGGTGCCACGCCACACTCCACACGGCGGCATCGTGTGCAGCGGGCAGGGCACCCTGCGGGTCGGGGCGGCTGGCCTGCCAGAACAACAGGCTTCCGTCCACTGGGGGAGCAAGGAGGGAGGGAAAAGACAAAAGAGGTTGGCGCGGGGCGCAGGTTCGGTGAGGGACACACCACAATATCTTCGACCTACTCCGGAATACAAGCGGACAATCGCGGGCTTTCCCTCCTCCCCTAAGGATCCGCCATCCATTCTGCCTCACCTGCCCCCGATACGAACACCTCCTCCTGCTGCGGGTGCCAAGCGCAGCATGTCACGTCGCGCCCGTGCCCCGCGAACGAGCCCACCTCCCGCAGCATGCGCACGTCGTACAGCTTCAGCAGCTGGTCGCGAGAGCAGGTGAGCAGCCAGTGGCCGTTGGAGTTCCATTTGGCCTGCGGGGAGGGGGTTAAGGCGCGCCTGTGTCTTAATGCCAGAACGAGGGAGGTGAAGCGTGCATACCAGGAGAGGGGAGCACTGCATGGACCATTCTTGCGCAATGGCCCAAGGACCCGGACACCTGGAATAGCCCGTTCTTGTGTCCATGCAGCGTGGCGAGGCAGTCGCCGACCCGTGGGTCCCATAGCTTCACGCACGCGTCCTTGGAGCAGCTGGCGATGACACCCTTGCTGGGGTGCCACTCCACCCACCGCACGTCACCGCCGTGGCCTGAGGGCCGCACAGGAGTCATGGCACGGCAAGGGGTGTTTGTTCACAAAACTAGTCTCGAGTCGGGACGTATGCTTGGCACAAGGGTCCAAACCAGTTGCAGTGGCCACGAGGATGCGATACGAGGACAGCAAGTGCCATGTGCGCAACAGGAACAATAGCTAGTTCCGCCCGCACCCCAAGGGGCCGAGCGGCAAGCTTCACAAGATCGTAGGACCAGTAAGAAAGCTGCTACAAGACAGTCTTCCTGCTACAATAGCGCGCCGTTCCGCTGCACCACCCTGCCCTCCCCCCCGGCAGCCCGCACCCGTCATGCACAGCTCCTGGCCCCGGAATGTATCGAACACACGGACCGTGGAATCGTCGGAGCCTGCGGAGGGAGGTGAGAGGGGGTAAAGAGGAAGAAACTGGGGACGTAAAAATCCCAGGGTTTGGGGTGCGTATCTGACCGTGCGAGCGGCGCTTGTGCCCGCCGTCACACCTATAGAGTCCTTAAACATGTATCATGTGGGTGTACGCCTCTTGCACGCCTGCTCGGAGCTGTGTCGCCTGCACCCTACAGCCTATTGGCATGCCCATCACGCTGGCAATCGGCCGCTGGGGTTCCGCCTCCGCGACCGGGTGTACACCCTCCCCCGCTAGCTGGGAGTGGGGAGGGGGCTTTCTTTGGGGTCCGTCAACGTGTCTACAGCCAACGTGTCTACCAGCCAACGTGTCTACCAGCCAACGTGTCTACCAGCCAACGTGTCTACCAGCCAACGTGTCTACCAGCCAACGTATCGACCAGCCAACGTATCGACCAGCCAACGTGTCAACCATCACCGTGCCGTCAATCAGTGTGCCTACCAGTCAAGATGTCTACCGACTACGTGTCATCGCGTCTGCGTGCCATTCGCAGGACTCTGGGCTCCATGCTAGCGCCCCGGCGGCACTGTCTGTGCCGCCGGTTTCCCCGGCCAGTCCAGGCTCCTGGCCGGGGAAAATTTTGCGGGGAATGGGGTCGGGGTTGGGATGGGGGTCAGGGCTGGGGTTGGGGCTTGTCCCCGGCAGCAGCTAATGGAGCTCAGGAGTCCCTTTCCTTGGGGCCCCTTTCTCGGATACTGCCTGTCCTTCTTGGCACGCTCGCATTCATGTTGTCTTCCTCCCCGCTGTCGCATCGGGTTGGGATGGGGGTTGGGCCTGGGGTTGGGGCTTGTCCCCGGCAGCAGCTGATGGAGCTGAGGAGTCCCTTTACCTGGGGCCCCTTTCCCTGATACTGCCTGTCCCCCTTGACACGCTCGCATTCATGTTGTCTTCCTCCCCTCTGTCGCATGCTCCCTGCTTGCCTGCCCCCTGGTTGCCTTGCCTACCACCCCTGGCGCCCATATGAATCGTGGCGCTCGGGGTCTGGTGCTGTGGGGAGCTGCCCGCACACATGTCCATCATCTCCTCTCCCCATTATTTGGCATCACCCCTGCTTATACTCCTCTTCAGCGACAGCTCCAGCTTCTCATTACTACTTACTCACATACTTACTACTCCGGTTCTTAGGTCCGGTCGCGTTAGGACATTGCTCTTGCTACTTTTTGGGCGGAGCCCCCGCCGCGTCCCGGTCCGTGTGTCCGTCCGTCCGTCCGTAACGGCAAAACATACAAAGTAGACAAACCTATTTATAGCACCTAATAGATATTTGTTATCTGTATTCAATAAAATAACTGAAAGCCAAACAAACTTAGTTTCGCAACAAACGATTTATTGACCAGCCATTCAACAGGATCACCGCGGCAACACCGATTAGCGCTCCTCTTTGGTTTGTCCTGGTACCGTAAACCGTATTTAGTGTATTGGTAACAGCGGCGTGTCGCCAAAGGGCTACCTGTGAAAGTCGGCGGGAGCATGCTTGCGTGCATCGAATGTGCTACGCTGAGCCCACACAATCCTTTGAGACGATGTTGCCGGCCTTTGCTATTCGGTTGCGCGCCATAATGCCTATGAACTGTAACGCAAACAGGTACCTCGCCTATAAGATAACAGCGATGTTCCGGTGCAATTGCCGAAGTCCTTAAGTGCACGATGCCGACATTGCCGAGCCTGACCTCCTCATCATGTTAGTAATGTAGGCGAACCTAAACGACCTGCGGGACCCTGAAAGCACTCCCATGTGGCAGTTACGCCGTCGATTTGGGTTCTGTGGCCTAATGCGTGGGTGTTATCACGCACGATAAGACGTTACTGAGTACTCGATTGAACAGGTATAACCTAACAATGAGTGAGGACACTATGTACGCCATGGCGGCCGGCCTCGGCTGGACAAGGGGCTCTGAGCTCGTCTAGCCATGCAACGAACACTCCAACTACAGTAAACAAGGGGGTTCAGCGTCCGTATAACAAGGTGTGTTAAGTCAACTGGTGCCGTGGAGTCACAGGAGCGCATGCCGTGCTCATTCCAGGTATATAAGGAGTAGTTCAGTCTCCCTGTAATAAACGCATTCATTCCAGTGGTAATAATACGTTCCTGTATTGAAGAGGATGGGCTCCGCCCTTTTCCAGCTTTGAGGAAGCTGAACCCCCTTGTCAATAATTCTGATATCACTCAATACCTGTATTACACCATAGCCAACGGACTTCACTTCACTGTGGTGTTTCGGTGGGAGGACTTTATCTTCGGCAATCGCCTCCGGCCAGTTACTTTAACAGAAAGCGTGCGTGCGTGCCTCCCACTCGCTGTCTTGCGAACAGCGCCCCACCCAATCGCCCTCTCGCATGCCGCCTTTGTCCCACTCACCCTCCATCATTCTACGCTCCACCCACACACCGTCAAACATGCGATGGCCCTTCCACTCGCCCTCGCTCACATGACGCACCTGTTACTCGGCTTCCCTCTCTTCTTTTGCAGTAAGCAAAGGTACCGCTATTCCTAGACATAAAACTTAGCCCTTGGCCCGTTATTCTTTTCTTAGGCAACTTGAGGTGTATTATTCAGCTGTATTGTACAGCAACGACACGGGCTCTTGCAGCAAGTCATGGTTTGGTGTAAAGCAAACGTAAAAGCACATAGTACGTGGCAGTCAATGATGACGATAGGAAAAGAAGGGCGCTTGCGCATGCCTTGCCAGCTATGCTAGCCCACGGCACACGGCATGGGGAGCAAGTAACGGCTAGGTGGGGGACTTGCACTTCTGGGAAGGGTACCGTTTCGGGGGCAAGGGGGGCCTCGTGGCTTGCATGGCCGCTCGAGCACAGCGCAGGTAGTGGTGGTGGGGGAATGAATGAATGTATGACCGTTTCAATGGTGCCCTAAAAGGGAACACGGGTTATGAACCCAACCCTACATTGCAAAAGAAACGGAACAAACCGGGTCGCTAGGGGGGGGGGCGGAGGGGGGTGGGGGACACTGGACGGCTATGGTTATTGGTGAGCCGGAGGTGAGGCACCTGGACGGGTAACATGAACGCCAAGGAAGGGTACCGGTTTGGGGGTACAGGGGTCCTCATCATGGCTGTGGCAGGGGAAGGGGCCTCACTTTCCTTTCACCCTCCCGTGCTTCTTGTATACCCTACAACGCGTCACGTAATCGTGCTGCCACCTACGGTTAGGGGGTGGGGGGCTGGCCTGCACGGCCTCTCACGCACAGCGCGGATTGGGCGGGGGATAGTAAAATTAAGGAAGACTGACGGATTGGGCGGGGGGGAAGGGGTATGGTGGACGTTGGATGGCTATGGTTATTGGTGAGCCGGATTATGATTTGGCGCCTCCTGGTCTGGTCACATGGACGGCACCACCGCACTTTGAGGTCAATATTCATTGGTGGGCTAGGGGGCCGGGGGAGGGGGAGGGGGGTGGGGGACACTGGATGGCTAGGGTTTTTGTTGAGCCGGAGGATCGTGAGGCACCTGGACGGGTGAGATATTTCATTTTTTTTCTTGATAATTACTACTCTTGGGAGGGTTAGGGGAGTGCAGGCGGGTAGCGGGGGGGGATTTAAGGATATCCCAAATCATAGGATGTTTTAGTAAGGGCAACACAAAGGGGATATGTGGTGGCTGGTTGCAATAAAATTAGTGAGGATTAGCGTTGGGGGGAGCGAGGGGTACTGCCACCTATGGTTGGGACGCCTTGTCAGCTATACTAGCTCACCGGCTAGCGGGGGCATTTGCACTACTAGCAAGGGTACCGGTTTGGGGGCATGGGGGTCTCCATCATGGCTGTGGTAGGGGAAGGGCCTCATTTTTCACCGTCCCCGTGCTTCCAGTACACCCGAAAACGCATCAAGTCATCGTGCTGCCACCTACGGTTAGGGGAGGGGCTGGTCTGCACGGCCTCTCACGCACAGCGCGGATTGGGCGGGGGGGAAGGGAGGTGGGGTACATTGGATGACTAAAGATGATGAGGCGCCTCCTGGTCTGGTCACATGAGCGCCATTCATCACACTTCTACCTCAATATTCGTTGGTGGGCTATTTTTTCCGTAAACATTTCTCCTCTGGGAAAGGGTTTGTGAGAGGGCAGGCGGGTAGCGGATGGGGAATTAACAACATACCAACTCATAGGAAACCACAGTAAGGGCAAAGCAAAGGGGATGGGAGGCGGTAGAGTGTCACAGACACAAAAAGTAAAAAAGGACAGCCGCAGGCTACAGTTCATACATCGACCGTTACTATGTGCCGCACACCTAGCACTGCCTTCTGTTGCTTTAGCCCAGTATGGATTGCTAAGAAATGAACAGGTACCGCTTAGGAATCTGGGTAGAAGATGTTGGAAAAGAGGTCAGGGGGCTGAGGCTACAGTTGGTTGTATAGCCGCTTTGCACTTGTCGCGTTGCCTCTTTTCCTCTTTTACGTACACACACCTTAGGGCTCCAGGGTGGCCACCCTGACCGGCCCCTCCTCACCCAGCGCTCAAAACACCGCCCGTGTTGCATGCGGCGCTTGCCACCTTCACATGGGCTCGGGAAAACGCCATTCGGCGTCGCGATGCGCGGCCGGACGGGGCCGAAAACAACAAAAACAATTTGGAACGATTTGAACCCGGATCGCGAATTTTAGCGCGTTAAAAATGCTCTTGCCGAAAAATTGGGATACGCCCCCCCCCATTCCTATTGATGCCTTTCCTACGCTGCTTGCTAGCGTCGGACTCCGTCTACAACGTCGGCCTCCGATGTCGCCACATTGCTCCGGCGACAGGTGTGCCCAAAAACAAAAACAAAAAACGAAGAACCGGCGGACTTACCTATGAGGGGATGAGCAACCGCCGACCGAATTACGTAGAACGTAGCCGGCGCGATGGATGAAGACCAGCGACGAAGTGTTGAAGGATAGTACATGCGAGCACATCAAAAGGAAGGGTGAGACATAGACCAGGCAGTTAGTATGTTCATGTTAGTGGAGTGCATAGCACAGCGACATACTCCCTGGGAACTACGGAACGGACCGCGCGGCGTGTGGGGATGGGGAGCGAGCAGGCAGTAGGATAGGGGATGGGGGCTGGGGAAAGAAAAGGCAAGAAGTGTGACCACCACATCCCCAATAGCGTTTGGTGCAATGTTATATGGATTGGGACCCGTCTGAACCCAGTTGAATCCTACCGGATTTCCATTTCCGGCCCCCACTCCATTTACCCGTTGCGAACTTAAAGTCAGTTGGTGCGAAGCTGACGGAGCGGCATGGCTCCTTGTGCGCGTGGTACACCTGGGTGACAAAGCAGCAAGCGACGGGGAGGCGGAAATAGGACATGGGCTGTCAGCTTGAACAGGGCGGAGCCCCTTGATGGGGACAGCGACATATGATGACCAGTGTGATTACGCGGCCCTTATTGGGTTTTACGCATCAGTGACTCCATGGCACCAATGGAGTTGTCATCCCTTGTCGGAGGCGCTGACACGCGGCCCTTATTGGGTCAACATGGTCTGAAAAGCTAACACCCCTTGCTTGGGAAGCTGACACCCCTTGTGTTGAAACCTGACACCCCTTGCTACGGAAGGTGATATCCCCTTCTTGAAAGCTTGGAAGCTGACACCCCTTTTTTGAAGCAATTGTTGTGATATATTTATGATGTGCGGAGCTGACAAGCCCTTGACCAGTTTGGGCTGACAGGCATGTCACATTGACTGTGACATGCACATAGGTTAGCGACATGCATAGGTTAGCGACATGCAATAAACACGCATGACACGAATACTTCTCTTCCTGAAGTCGGGCCAATTCGCACCGGCAAGCGTGTCGTACAACCTGTAAACCATGACAAAACACCAGGGAAAAAACTGAAGATTCCTCTACGCATGCTCAATTACATGCATTCGAAAAAACCCAGACCCCTGGGAAGATGCGCACACAAGTTAATGTCACAACAATGCACTAGGATGGCTAAGATAACCATGTTCTTGGCCCCAGCTTGACCCTGACTGATAAAATGTATTAGGCGCCTAGCAAGCACCACGGCCCTTCCATTTGCGCCCTACCAACCGTCAGTTTTGTCTTCACGAACCGACATGACGGCACCAACACTTCCAGGTCCCTGCTCCTGCCTCACCTCCCCCCTGTGGCGTTGGGCCCTCGACCCTAGCCCCTGACACCAATTCCCACGCCTGCTTGTTTCTGTGCTCTGCATCCCCACCCCATTCGTGGACACATTAAGTGCTTCCTCGCGGCTCAGTATGTCTACCCAAACCCCGCCTCCTCAGTCGTGTTCCACATCCATGGGGACATGCTGCTATGTCAGGCCTTTACTAAGCGCCGACTAGCCGTGTTCGCGATATCTACTTCTGCATATGTTGTTTCTTATAAGAGTGGGAATTGGGCAGTTCCGTTCGGCTACTGTGGTTCAGACTTCAGAGTTGAAGTGTCATCGGATTTTAACAAGCCATGACCATTTTGTGACCATTTTGTTGATAAAATAGTTCCACATAAAACTCTTGGCCCGTTATGTTTCTTAGGCAATTTGAGGTGTATTGTACATCAACAACACAGGGTCTTGCAGCAATCATGGTATAGAAACTGGTCCTGGACCAGAGCACCTCAACATGTAAGTTTGACCGCACACTTCAGATGCAGCGACTCTTGCATTCCAAACGTAAGGGCACATAGTATGTAGCAGTCGATGGTGATGATAATAAAAGAGGGGAGCTTGCGCATGCCTTGTCAGCTTTGTTAGATCAACGCATGGGGACCAAGTAAAGCCTAGCTGGGGGGCATGCACTACTAGGAAGGGTACCGGTCCGGGGGCTAAGGGGGGGCATCGTGGCTTGCATGGCCTTTCAAGCACACCACAGGTGGGGGGGCCTCCGCCCCAAAAGAGGAAACCCGCGAGCTGTATGATGAAGCTTCACCATGGGGTTGCTAGGGGGGTGGGGGATGGGGGTGGGGGACACTGAATGGCTATGGTGACTGGTGAGCCGGGGGATGGTGAGGCACCTGAACAAGTAAAATGATTGCTGCTTTCCGCATTTCTAGCCTTTTACTTGTTGGCTGTTCATTTCCTTCTTCGTAAATAATCCTAATCAGGGGGAGGGGTTGGGGAGTGCAGGCGGGTAGCGGATGGGGTTCAAACACATCCCAAACCATAAGAAACCACAGGATGGGCAAAGCAGGTCGGTAAGAGGCGGCATGGTGCAATAAAACAAGTAAGGGTTAGCGGATGGGGGAGGGGTTAAGGGGGAGGAGGCCAGTGAGTTTTTGGGCGGAGCCCCCGCCGCGAAGCGGCTTCGGGGGGGCTCGCCCCCCAGGGTTGCCCCTGTCCGTGTGTCCGTGTGTCCGTCCGTCCGTCCGTAACGGCAAAACATACAAAGTAGACAAAACTATTTATTGCACCTAATAGATATTTGTTATCTGTATTCAATAAAAATAACTGGAAGGCAAACAAACTTAATTTCGCAACAAACGATTTATTGACCACCCATTCAAAAGGACCACCGCGGCAACACCGATTAGCGCTCCTCTTTGGTATGTCCTGGTACCGTAACCAGTATTTAGGGAATTGGTAACAGCGGCGTGTCGCCAAAGGGCTACCTGTGAAAGTCGGCGGGAGCATGCTTGCGTGCATCGAATGTGCTACGCTGAGCCCACACAATCCTTTGAGACGATGTTGCCGGCCTTTGCTATTGGTTTGTATGCCATAAGGCCTATGAACTGTAACGCAAACAGGTACCTCGCCTAGAAGCTAACCGCGATGTTCCGGTGCATTTGCCGAAGTTCTTAAGAGCACGATGCCGACATTGCCAAGCCTGACCTCCTCATCATGTTAGTAATGTAGGCGAAACCTAAACGACCTGGGGGACCCTGAAAGCACTCCCATGTGGCAGTTACGCCGTCGATTTGGGTTCTTTAGCCTAGTGCGTGGGTGTTATCAAGCATGATAAGACGTTACTGAGTACTCGATTGAACAGGTGTAACCTAACAATGAGTGCAATGAGTGAGGACACTACCGGTATGTACGCCATGGCAGCCGGCCTCGGCTGAACAAGGGGCTCTGAGCTCGTCTAGCCATGCAACGAACACTCTAACTACAGTAAACAAGGGGGTTCAGCGTCCGCGTCCGCGTACAGTAAGCAATGGGGTTCAGCGTCCGTGTAAGAAGGTGTGTTACGTCAACTGGTGCCGTGGAGTCACAGGAGCGCACTCCGTGCCATTCCAGTATTACGTTCCTGTACTCAATAGGAGGGGCTCCGCCCTTTTCCAGCTTTGAGGAAGCTGAACCCCCTTGTTTCGTTTCCAAGACAGCGGGGGGTAGGAAACGCGAGGACAGACCCCATGATTCAAAGTTAAAGAGCTTGTTGAGAGCATTCCAAATCTGCTTTCAGAATTTTAGTGTATAGAGTTGTACGAAAAAGGTCCGGTGGGTTTTTCCACGGGCTTCCTAACTTTTCCTAGCGTTGCCAAACTCACTAGTAAACATATTACGATAAACATACTGTAAGTATTCTATAGCTTTGACCATGTTGACATGATGACATGACACAATGGTTGGCGACATGAGTCCTACAGGTTCTCCCGTTAAAAAGAACTTAGCCCTTGGTCCGTTATGTGTCTTAGGCGTATTGTATTCATTGGTGGGCTAGGGGGCCGGGTGAGGGGGAAGGGGGTGGGGGACACTGGATGGCTAGGGTTATTGGTGAGCCGGAGGATGGTGAGGCACCTGGACGGGTGAAATATTTCATTTCCGTTTTCATAATAATTACTACTCTGGGGAGGGTTAAGGGAGTGCAGGCGGGTAACGGGAGGGATTTAAGGATATCCCAAATCATAGGAAGTTTCAGTAAGGGCAACGCAAAGGGGATATGTGGTGGCTGGTTAGTGAGGGTTAGCGTTAGGGGGAGCGAGGGGTTAAGGGGGAGGGGGCCCGTGCACCCCCTCAGCCTGAGGCTACAGTTAGGTTGTTTTTGTAATGCCACCTACGGTTGGGTCGCCGCGTCAGCTATACGAGCTCACCGGCTAGCGGGGGTACTTGAAAGGGTACCGGTTTGGGGGCATGGGAGTCCTCATCATGGCTGTGGTTCGGGAAGGGCCTCATTTTCTCCCTCCCCGTGCTTCTAACACACCCGAAAACGCATCAAGTCATCGTGCTGCCACCTACGGTTATGGTAGGGGCTGGCCTGCACGGCCTCTCACGCACAGCGCGGATTGGGCGGGGGGGAGGGAGGTGGGGGACATTGGATGACTTAAGATGATGAGGCGCCTCCTGGTCTGGTCACATGAACGCCATTCATCACACTTCTAACTCAGTACTCGTTGGTGGGCTATTTCTTCCGTAAACATTTCTACTCTGGGAGAGGGTTTGTGAGAGGGCAGGCGGGTAGCGGATGGGGAATTAACAACAAACCAACCCATAGGAAACCACAGTAAGGGCAAAGCAAAGGGGATGGGAGGCGGTAGCGTGTCACAAACAAGTAAAAAAGGACAGCCGCAGGCTACAGTTCATCGACCGTTACTATGTGCCGCACACCTAGCACTGCCTTCTCTTGCTTTAGCCCAGTATGGATTGCTAAGAAGTGAACAGGTACCGCTTAGGGATCTGGGTAGCAGATGTTGGGAAAGAGGTCAGGGGGCTGAGGCTACAGTAGGTTGTATAACCGCTTTGCACTTGTGGCATCGCCTCTTTTCCTACGCATAATTAGGTTATGTTCTTCATGCGCTTTTTGTCACTGCGGCCCGTTTACAACACAGCGGCGTCTCACACAATTGCGGTCCCTCCGTATTCTTCCGTCCAATCTGCAGTTAGTACGGTCGCTCCGTCTTCCTGCATCCTTCCGCGGTGCGGTTTCGCCCTTAACATCGATGATCAGCTTCCGTTCCCTATGCACCCGCGTTTCACCTTCCAGGCGCCAAATGTTTATGAGCTCTGCCGTACATTGGCTATTCCTACTAACGGGCTCCAGTGTAATTTCCGCTTCCTAAACAGCCGGGCCGGGGGCGAGGGCGACAAGTGCAATGAGCCGTGGCAAATGCTGGTATAGGCTGGTTGTGGAGTACTAGTATCTTTTACACTTGCAGTCGATAGGGTTTGAGGGTGCAACCTTGAAGCACGGTATGACTCGTTCTGTGCAGTAGCTCAACTAATGATATATACGGAAAGAACACATTGACAGAAATCTAGTGCTGCTTAACTATTTTGGCGTATGGCAACACGAGAAAATAGCGTTCGAAGTCCTGTAGGTGGGTAGGTGGGTCCGGGAGGGGTCGCCACCAAAATGTTATCATGGGGTTTACCAAAATAAATGTACCCCCCGTCCAAGAGGCAATTTCTTCATCGCTGCTAGCAGGGGGGGATAAAAATGTCTATGCCAAACCCCATGCTAAAAAGTCAAGAAAGGGGTGCCGGACCCACCCACCCACCCTGTCGTTCCGTTTGTGCTGTACGACAACGCTTTAAACTTTGCAAAATCACCCCCCAAAAGCACCATTCGGCTCCATTTAACGAGATCTTTGTCATTCTCACGTTAGGCATGCCATTTGGCAACATGTCCGAGTCGCTCGCCACGAGGGGGGGGGCAGGCAGGCTGCCAGAGTCAATGCTCTCCGGTATACAGCCGATACACATACCTTGTAAACCTCACATGCATGGCTGTAATGCTTGAGTGCACTGTTGCGTTGGTAAGTGTGCTTCAGCCCTCACATCACCCCGCCATCGGTACGACTGCGCCCCCTCTCCCGGGTAGCAGGTTGGGTTTGACCCCACCGCCCTCAGCACCAGATGCAGAACCACGCATGTTTCCCCCTGCCCCGGCGCGGAACCTCCCGCGCCTCCTCCCTCAGCCACGGGTGTGTCGTCAGTACGCCTGCCGCGTGCCCTCCCTCTTTGATTTTACTCGTTTGGTTCCTCTTTGGGCCCCTTCCACCTTAGCCCCTGTCCCTGCTGCTTGCTTTGCCTCTCGAGAAGCCATACCGTGTATGTTGGGCCAGCTAGGGTCTTCCATGGGGACATGCCACCCGCAAACTCCACACAAAGGCTCTAATATTAACACAATATGCACATACTATAACAGGAGTACTAAATCTGCTATCCGTTTGGCGAAACGATACCTAGGAAAGATGTTTTAAAGGTCAAAGGAAAAAAGGCATTGGGGCTCCGGACCCACCTACCCACCCCTGCCGTACGACCATCTTCAGGAGCCTATAACTTTTTCCGTACAACTCCGATTACAATTTTGTAAGCGGAATTGAAATGCTCTCCTTGAGTTCTTTAATATTGAAGCATGGGGTCATTTTGCGGGGAAACTACCCCCTACTGCTAGAGCGACAGAAGTTGGGCCTGAACAATCGCTTATCGCTTTCCCAGCCAGCCAAACTGAGGGGTTTCGGGCTTACCGCTTCCTAGGGTGGCCTCCTGGGGTCACACGTGCCCATAGCTACCTAAACCCCAACGCGGAGGCGCTTCCCACTGGTCCTAGTGCCCTCCCGGACCCAAATCTCTAGCATGCGGAGGGTTTGTCACAGGGGATGTGAGCGTTGAAACGCCCTGGGCGGAGACACCCTATCAATCTTTCACAGCCCTAGGACCAAATAATTATCGTTCAATGTGCGACGTATCGTTCAAAAAATCGCTGGAGGGGGCCGCCCCGCCCCTTCACCCTGAGGCTACATCTAGGTTGCTATTACATGCCGCATGTATCGCACCGCCTTCTGTTACAAGCCCAATATGGATTGCTAAGAACAAAATAGGTTAGGGATAGCGGATGTTGGGAGGGGGGCGAGAGCGCAGGGGCTACAGTTGATTGGGTTTTAGGGTTTCCTTTTCCTTGGCCCAAACTTTATTTCCTGTTTACGTTCTCTTGTCGCTGCGCCGCAGTTTTAACACATCAGCGTCCAACACAAGTGTGGCCCCTCCGTCTTCCTCCGCCTGCAGTTCGTGCGGTCCCTCCGTGGGGCCCCATTCCATATGGCGATGGCGACTAGTCGCCCGTAATCCAATACTACCCTAACAATATTATTCAGAACTGTAATCAGTATGTAATGCGCGCGTTCTTGACGCACATGAGCCGGAAAACGATAATCGCAACGTGCGCTACCGTTGGAGACGCCCATGGTTTACGCCCATGTCTGGAAAGCCGAAGTTTCTACATGTGCGCAATTGTCAGTCCTGTAATGTTCGCGGCCAGTTATTTGAACCCACACACGTTCCTACTCGCGGCCAGTTTTCTTAACACACGTATGTGGCCAAAGATGGGGTGTTGGAAAAAGAAGCCTCCTTCTAAGGAGCCTGGCTAAAAAGTATCCAATATGGGTTTGAAGGCACCGTTGCTCCTTCTTTTGGCGCGTGTCCTGCATGTTCTTGTCGTGCAGCCAGCAGGTGCTGAAGTTGTTGTCGTGCAGCCTATACATGTTACTATACATGCAAAATTCTAGCCCAGTTCGGGTTAATCGTCCCCTCTTACCCCCCCCCCCGCCCACCTCTCCCCACCTGCAGCACCTCTAGAGTGGGTTTTGAGAACTTGACACGCCCCATGTCATCGCAGCTGAGCACGTAGAGGCCGCTGTGGGAAAACACCATACAGCGGATGGGGGAGGCCTCGTGCGCCTGGGAGGGCGCGCGGTGGGGTCGCGCCGCAGGGTTGGTGAAGACGGAACTACGTTAATGACGTCCAAAGCTTGACCCAGGAGCTACAGGACACGAGAGCTATTGAGGAGGGCGAGGGACGATGGAGGGAGGCGGGCCGAGGAATGGACCGGGAACCACGCGTACTTTTATGCCGGTTCCTAAGCACCGCCCTACTCCCAAGACCTTCTTCCCTAACTTCCCGTTCGCCCCAACCCCCCACCTGAATGCCCGGCCCCAGCTCGTTTTCAAAGGTGGTGCCGCTCCAGAGGCTGACGTTGCCGTTGTTGCCGGCACACAGCAGCCTCCGCCCGTCAGGGGTGAACACCAGATGGTTGATGGCGGCGCGGTGCTGAAAGGGCAGGAGGAGTATGCTTATATGGTGTACATAGCGACAGGGGGCCCAAGCGTTCGTGGCCTAGTACAGTGCAACCTTTTGTAAAAACGCTACACAACACCCGGGCGGCGATCGGCTTTACATGAAAGAGACTCCGCCGAACCACTGCATGCCCCTTGACCTCGGTACAGAGGTCCTGAATGCAGCCCCACCCTGAGGAACGAGGACGTGACGAACTTGGTCTCAATGGTGCTGGCGGGGACATGCGGATAGGCGCAGGGGGGCAGCAGCTGCAGGGGGGACGCGGGAGCGAGAACTGATAAGCTTTTAAGGGCGGGTGTCAACGAGGAAGGGGCGTATGGGATGAAGTACGGGCGGGTACGGGAAGGCAGTGTCATGGAGGGAAAAGCAGGGAGTAAGACGATGCCGCGAGGAGGAAAAGCAAGAAGCAGCACTGCTGGCGGTAGATACACTGCACGCGGTTTATGGCTACCTTCAACGCCCTACTCGTAATCACTTTTTTCCGCAACTGCTATGCTGACTGCACCTCCCAAGGCGTTGTACGATCTTGGCAACGCACCCAACCACCCGGCCCTTCCATCCTTGAAGCGCCATTCCATAAGCACCCTTCCCCCTCCTTGCCCCGCTCTCACCCCTGCCCTACCTCCAGGCCACTGGCCAGCACGGGCTGCAGGTGCGAAACATGGCGCACAATGGGGGCGGATAGTCGGGCCTGCGGGGCGAGGGGTTAGATGGAATCCAGGGGGGGAGGTAAGCAAAACGCAAACGCCACGGAATTGCGGCACACGAGTAACGTAAAAATGGATTGGAGCTGCAGACATTGTCACGTGCCATCAGCCACCCCCCCAACGCCTCATGCAGAAGCCGTGGCATGCGTTATGAATCCTTGTAGCTGGGAACCCTCCCACTGGCCGCTCCTCCATGCCGCCCGCCCTGCCCCCTCCATTGCCACTTCCCCACCCCTAGGCAAGGGGGGTGTTCCTAGGGTAGAGTCTGCTAATGCGCTCACTGCATGAGTCGGTACATGGGACAGTGCGTCACTTTTCATTTCTTTTTTACCCCCAGTTGGGCACCTGGAAAAGGCGCAGGTAGGCCCCCACCGGCTCCAACACGCGCCTGTAACGGGGCGTTTGGCAGTGCGGAAAATTAGAACGCCGTCAAGGTTTTCGTGAGGAGAGAATTTGCAGGTCATATAGAGATGCATGAAGATCGCCGGTGGTGGTTACATGTGCGCTTCCCCAAGGTTGAGCCCCACTACCAAAGTAAATATCCAATCACTGCTACCCACGTCTTAATAGCCTTTTGCTGCTTCTTCGCTTCATGCAAAAAGGGCGCACAACTCGAAGGCGGGGGTGCTGTCACCGGCACGAGCGCCATCTGTATGCTCGAACGCACCAACACAGGTGATCGTGGCTAAAACAGTGTACCTAGATTCTGGGTTGGTAAACGTTATCGCAAAGTTGTTTGCGGTCACAGGAAAGCTTGTGAACAATTTCATTTCGTGTCGCGTTTAGACTTCGTTAAACAGGTAATAGTCTGCCTTGCTGCCCGTCTGCATGATCGGTGCTGGGTCCCAGTTCTCGGTTGGCCCCCCCTGGACGGACAGGCTGATAGAGAACTGCCAAACGAAGGCTCTTTTTACCTTAATATTGACGCAGGGGTCTAGGTAAATTATTGGGTGGCTATTTATCATTTTGCCTGCAAACTCTGAGCTCATTCTCTGACACCGGCACTGGCTAGCTGCCACAGTAAAGCCCAAACTTGTATTTAATTGCAACTAAACATACGTTTGTAGGGTATAATAGCTCCTTCAGTAAAGTGTCACGGTAGCCTCAATAGTGTCTATCGCGTCATGCCCAGCGACGAGTCAAGAGCTGCCTTATGCGGATTCCGAGGAGGCCTATAACTGGGATGGATATGTAACTATACTGTTGTTGTATCGCCGGCGTTCCTTTGAAAGCAATGATGGCGATGCCGGCGACACTAGCAGCGACGATAGTGGGGGCTATGCGACAGCAGACGAGGGGGACTCGGACGACTTTGAGGACGCAGCCAGTTACCCAGTTACCAGTTACCAGACACGTAGAAGAGCGGGCGGCATATGAAGGTCTTGTTAGCTCCTCTCCTTCTCTTGCATGGGTGACGTTGGGTTTGGGATTCACTAGTTCACTAGACTCACAGGGACAGCAACGTCATTCACAAGCACCTCGTGGCCAAGTTCCGGCTGGCATGCAGAATGGCGCAGCACCGGCTGGTGTTGGGGATGGACATCAGCCTTCCCAAACTGTACATGGTGGAGACGTTCAGGACCTAGCTGACGCCCTTCCTGCCACACCACTTAGGGGCAGCAATACGGCTGCACCTGGCCACTAGCCCGTCTTCATAAATAATATCATCCCAACATACCGTTATCAGCCCAATGTGCAGTGAGCAGAAGCTTGTCGTGGCCACCAGCTACCTTGTGTGCGAGCACGGTACGGCAGCACGTATATGCATTTGGCGCGAACAAGCGACGATTGAATATTCGGCGACCGCAGCGCAGAAATGGAAGGCACGGTGTTTTGACGAGGGTGTTCCCAGTGCAAAACGACGGACAAAGGCCATACCTATCAAATGGTGACCGTTGGATTGGGCTAATGAAAGGTGGTTAGCCAGCTACCCTGTGTACCCGTATTTTACAGTTTGGCTATACAGCTTGGCTAATCACCACCGTGATTATGAGGTACGTCCCATAGATGATTGGGAGGGGGGAGGGGCACCCTCCCCCCTTAAATCCCCTCCCGCACGTGTTGCTGTAAAAAAGGAAGCTGTACTGCACGTCGGGCCAAGAATGATCACATGTACGCGCCCCGACATGGACCGTTAGGAGCAAAAGTCGGAGACCCATTCATCCCCGTAGCTCGATTCCGAGAAAACGTATACGCAGTATGCGGTTTCGGAGGAGCGAAGCGAAGGGAAGCATACCCGGTTCCTGTCACGCTCAACGGGATCCTTTCAGCCGGCGTAGTCACGGCTCGGCGTTCATCTTGCGTTCATCTCGGCGTTCAGCCCGCAATTGCTGTCACGCTCCTTCAACGAACTTTTAACGGCATCGCCGCGCTTCGCAATCCCCGTAGCTCGATTGAGAAAACGTATATACGTAGTATACGGTTTCGGAGGAGCGAAGCGAAGGGAAGCATAGGCCGTCTCCGTGGTTCACGCTCCAGGGACGGATATATTCGTGCTCGTCCCGCTCACAGACCCAGGGGTCGGTATAGATGCAAGCTCGCTTCGGTGAACGATTTCGCTTCGACGAATCGCGTTGTTAAGCAGCCCGCTACCGCTACCGCTATGTGTTGTTTTGATTTAGCAAACTAATAGTATTTGGGCGAAGTGCAAAGCCATACGAGAGGCAAGGAAAGTAAGAGTGCTGTGTGATTCGTCTATCTAGTCTGTAAATGCTTTCTAGGTCGACGACGAACAGTAAGGTCCATGCCCGGATTGTGGGCTCTGAGCATGCTCGCAATAAAGCCCAGGATTATGGGCTCTGAGCATGCTCGCGATTTCGGCCCAGATTGTGGGCTCTGAGCATGCTCGGAGCATGCTCAGAGCCCATGGTCAGGGCTCCATGCTCAAGGCACGCATTTCCAGGCAGGTAACCACCGCACTGGATAGGTTAACGCAGTCGTTTAGCTATGCAGCAATCGCGAGGGGCATTAGACAACCCGGGCCCCACCTAGGAACAACGAGCCCAGTATATGGGCTCTGAGCATGCTCGGAGCATGCTCAGAGCCCATGGTCAGGGCTCCATGCTCCAGGCACGCATTTCCAGGCAGGTAACCACCGCACTGGATAGGTTAACGCAGTCGTTTAGCTATGCAGCAATCGCGAGGGGCATTGGACAACCCGGGCCCCACCTAGGGACAACGAGCCCAGTATATGGGCTCTGAGCATGCTCGGAGCATGCTCAGAGCCCATGGTCAGGGCTCCATGCTCAAGGCACGCATTTCCAGGCAGGTAACCACCGCACTGGATAGGTTAACGCAGTCGTTTAGCTATGCAGCAATCGCGAGGGGCATTAGACAACCCGGGCCCCACCCAGGAACAACGAGCCTAGTATATGGGCTCTGAGCATGGCTACGGACTCCCCATACATAGGCCATGAGGTGGCTAAGAGCTGGAGTCGGTGTCATGTCATATGCATGCGTGGCAGGGGCGAACGTGCTAGTTGGACGGGGAATGCAGCATGGAACCCGGTCAAACATGCTGTTTTGAGGGGCTGGAGGGCCACCCGGCATCCATTTCGTGCCACAGTCACGGCTACGGACTCTTCATACATAGGCCATGAGGTGGCTAAGAGCTGGAGTCGGTGTCATGTCATATGCATGCGTGGCAGGGGCGAACGTGCTAGTTGGACGGGGCATGCAGCATGGAACCCGGTCAAACATGCTGTTTTGAGGGGCTGGAGGGCCACCCGGCATCCATTTCGTGCCACAGTCACGGCTACGGACTCTTCATACATAGGCCATGAGGTGGCTAAGAGCTGGAGTCGGTGTCAAGTCATATGCATGCGTGGCAGGGGCGAACGTGCTAGTTGGACGGGGCATGCAGCATGGAACCCGGTCAAACATGCTGTTTTGAGGGGCTGGAGGGCCACCCGGCATCCATTTCGTGCCACAGTCACGGCTACGGACTCCCCATACATAGGCCATGAGGTGGCTAAGAGCCGGAGTCGGTGTCATGTCATATGCATGCGTGGCAGGGGCGAACGTGCTAGTTGGACGGGGCATGCAGCATGGAACCCGGTCAAACATGCTGTTTTGAGGGGCTGGAGGGCCACCCGGCATCCATTTCGTGCCACAGTCACGGCTACGGACTCCCCATACATAGGCCATGAGTTGGCTAAGAGCCGGAGTCGGTGTCATGTCATATGCATGCGTGGCAGGGGCGAACGTGCTAGTTGGACGGGGCATGCAGCATGGAACCCGGTCAAACATGCTGTTTTGAGGGGCTGGAGGGCCACCCGGCATCCATTTCGTGCCACAGTCACGGCTACGGACTCTTCATACATAGGCCATGAGGTGGCTAAGAGCTGGAGTCGGATGCCGCGTCGCTGGGCCAAGGGTCGGCCAGACCTCAACAATTCGCTGCAGCGCATCGCTTCGTTAGTGGCTTAAAATGTAAAGTGTACTATCGTGTTGAACGTCTGAGAAGCAAATCACTACGGGTTCTACGCTCCAGCGTACTTTAGTCTTCGTTATCTGGTTCGCGGTCAAAGGTGCTTCGCGACGGCAGTGCAGCCATCTTCGGTTCCGTCTGGATTATCGGCATCACTCGGCTCTGTCGCATAAATGGATTCATAGTTCAAGATTATCCCCGTAGCTCGATTCCGAGAAAACGTATACGTAGTATGCGGTTTCGGAGGAGCGAAGCGAAGGGAAGCATAGACCGTCTCCGTGGTTCACGCTCCAGGGAGGGGAATATTCATGCTCGTCCCGTTCAGATTTCTAGTCCCACGGGTCGGTCTTCGCTCCCGATTTCGCGCGCCGCGTCGTGGTGGGTTAATTAATGTTGTTTTTAGCGTAACGTAACGCCGCTATAGTATTTATTCCTAGGGGAAAAGAGCGCCAAGAATTCTCAAGCCCGGCGTACTTTGGTCTTCCTTTTTTGCTTTGCAGCCTAAGACGCTGTCGGCGGTTCATTAGTGTTCGGTTTGTCCGGATGATCGGGCCATTCTCCGGGGCACCGTGCGCGCGCTCCGCTCTAAAGGAAAAGAAAAGAAGTGTAATTCGCAAGGGGGAATAATGGGGATGACGGTAATGGGGGAAAATGATGATAGGCAAAATAGCGTGCAGTCCGAGGCACTGGCATGTCAGTACGGTCCTCGCCCGGATTGTGGGCTCTGAGCATGCTCGCAATAAAGCCCGGGATTTGGGGCTCTGAGCATACGTGGCAGGGCTTCAGGATATTAGGCGGCGCGCGGGCGCGCCGCCACTGCGAGGCGCTGTGGACGGAATGGGGGGCGGAGCGGGGCGGAGGTGGCGGGGTGGGAGGGCGAGGAACGGGGCGGCATGCACGGCCGGTGGGGAGCGGGGCGGCATGTAGGGCGAGAGGGGTAGCGTGTGGCGTGGGAGGTGGGCGAAATGGTGTAGGGTAGCGTGTGGAGGGGGGAGGGGGAAGGAGGGTAGGAAGGGCTAAGTGGGTAGGGGGAGTAAGGGCTAGGGGCTGAGGGAGGGTAAGGGGCTTGGTAGAGTGGTTGGTGCTTGGGGGAGGGTGACGGTGTGCAATGTGGTGAGAGTGGGACGGGTGGAAGGCTGTGTTGCGTTTGGGGTGGATGGTGGAGTGGGAGGAGGAGGCGGTGGAGGAGGGTGGGTGGCGGCGGGGTTTATCGGAAGGCAAGCTATCATCGCTGGTAATCGAGAAGACGTCCGCCAACTCGCTGCATACCCGCGTGACAGGAACGCCGGCTCGTCAACCGGGTCAACAGCGGGTGGGGCTGTATGCATGGTCGATTGGGAGCGGGGCGGCATGTAGGGTGAAAGCGAGTGG